ACCTCCCCGTACATGACCCTACCTTACCCAACCCGTACCGAGGACAAGAGCCACCCCACCTAACCTAGCCGAAGTTTACGACAGGCCGGAGGCGAGTGGCGGCACCTCCGACGAGTCTGCGAGGACGTCACTCAGGAGAGGCGGCTCGCCGTCAAGGTTGGCAGTGTTGGAGATGGGAAGGGACAGCAAGTTGGTTGCGAAGGAACGCGCAGCTGCGACAGAGAATATTGTGCGACAAAAGCTGCAACGCATGCTGCCCGTTGCGAGGGAGCCGTCAAGGAGTGCCAGCTCGGCAGGACCAACAGTACGGCGATGCTCAGCAGCAGCACGGCCGTCGAGAGCGCAGAAGCGGAGCGCTGCCAGCCGCGATGCGGGACATCGGGGTCAGCCTCGTCAGCGGCTGCTGCAGGTCCGTGTTGGGGCAAGTCAACCCACCGCGAGGCCGCAAACCCAGCCTCGGCGAGTGCGTCAGCAGCTTGCAAAAGGTCCTGTATCGGCAACCACTCAACAACCCTGCGTTCATCAAGGGCAAGCACCAAGGCGTTGACTCGCTGCGCGTCCCGTGCGCGGAGGGGGAATAGCATCTGCCCAGAAAGCCCGAGCACTGCCGTCGCGTGCAGGGCAGCATAGGGCAGCACTGCGAAGGCCGAGACCACCATCACGGAGGGCGAGTTCCACGACACGCGCTGCGGCAAGCGGCAGGGGGGAAAACCCTTCAACAAGCGACAACGTGCTCAAGGCTGCGAGCACGCGGGCATCGTGTGCAAGTGCAAAATCTCGCGTCAAACGGGGAGCGAGAGTGCGCAGTGCAAACTGGAAGCGGGGCGAAGCAGTATACAACAGCAGAAGCCACGAGACCTGGGTGTCTCCGAGTCGGGGCAATGCCGTAAGGAGGCCCTCATACCGATCCGGGAGAGTGGGTATGATGGGCGACGTGATGCTCGTAACGACGGACCAAATGCAACACACGCTGGGGCGAGCCAAGGATGGTGACATCATCGAGGTGGGCCAGCACACACTCCCCAAGGTCAGCACGTGTGCAGCTCGTGGAGCGCTGGCTGCAAACCCAGACAAAACAACGCCGGGCTCAGGGGTTCCCCTTGTTCGACGCCGTCAGCCTGACGGATGACACGCATATAGTTGTGCCACACGAAGGAGGAAGGGCGACCCAACCAAAGCTTTACAGACGGAAGCAGGGCAGCTGCGGCACGAAGAGACCGCAATGCTTGCAGGATCGACTGGCGGCAGGTGCCGTCGTACGCGGCAGACGCATCCAAGGAAACAATTGTGAGGCTGGGGTCACGCGCGCAACGAGCCTGCACAGCATGCACCAGCGCGCCAAGCCGGTGCGGTTGCCGAGGGCGTATTGGTGTGGGCAGGCAGCTTCGACGGCGCTTGCGGTTTGTTGGGCAAGCATGCGCGCGACAATAATACGCCTAACAAAATCACCGATGACAAGGCCCCGGGTGCCCCTTTCGCGAGTCAAAGGGGACGCGAGTGAGACATCGCAACACGACGCCTCGCCAAACGGTGTAGCCCCATATACACGACAAAATCAATGCGGCGGCGATCGGCTGGGTCGACGTCAGGGCGGACGTTCGCGCCAACCACTGCTGCGGTGCCATCCGGGGGGCCTTGGCTCGTTGGGCGAGCAATCCGGCTCGAGGGCACGTGGCGTGGTGGTCGCCGTGTGCGCCGACAGCGGTGCCGCAACCTTACCTGTATGCGCCGCGTCTGTGTGGGGCGGCTGGCCGGGACACCGGCATGGCCTGGCCAAAGGGTTGCAAGGCAGCGGGCAGGCAGGTCGCATTGTGCGGGGCGCGGGCCAAGAAGGGCGTCGGCGAGACACCACGCAGCGGCATCGGACGAGCTCACAGGACGGGCAAGGCATCGGCCCAGGTGGCCCAGACACGGAGGCAGCAGCGCGAGCCGGCGTGCCACAGCGACGTCAGCGTCGGCGTCTCTTCGCCTGGCAGTGCTAGCACGCATTGCCAGACGGCATCGTCGTGGCCTTGTGCATGGCCAGCGGAGAGGTCCGGTGGGAGTGTATGCAGCAAGTGGTCGGCACGTGGCGAAGCACACATGGCCAGCAGAAGCCACGCTGGAGGTCAGGCAGCATATGGAATTCATGCAGAAGCCGTGCCTCCTCAAGCAAGCGAGCATCTGTGTGGGCGGCGACGTAGAGCGGATGCCCGATGGGGGTGCCCAGTGCGACGAATCCACGCTCGGTTTCGTCTGCGTCTCCACGCCACACGCCTGCCCCAAGTGCGGCGATGCCTGGGGCTGGCCCTCAAGCACGGTTGCACCGTCGAGACCAACGACGGAAACAGCGGATTCTCGCGGAAAGCGCCGTTTGGCTCAAGGGTGATCACAAGACATGTCTTGTTGGTTCAAAACGGGTCGGGCGATAGTCGTCGCTGCCATGGCCTGTTCTGCCTGTTCTGGTTTACCAGCCGGCGCGCAGGTGCCACCATTTCGGGGGGAGGAGGGCAGCATCATGCCGCCGGCGGGAATCGGATCGCAATGAGGCGAGCTCCCAGGAGACTCCAGCGCCAGATGCGTAATTATAAGGACCAGGAGGCACCTAAGCCGGAAGCATGTGCTCGTTCCTCGGCCACGGAAGGGTGGAGCAGTGCGTGAACCAGGCAAGGCATGCTGTTGTGCGGATCTCGAACAACCAACGTCCTTCAGCATTGCCGTTGTTGATTGTTGCTAAAATTCTGCTGTAACTGGTGCTCCATGAGAGGCAAGTTGCGGGCATTTTGTACGCATGTACGTAGCGTCTAGCATGCCATTATTTGCAGCTGCCCGCTCTGACTCGAGGAAGGACACTATCTTCGTTTTGCTCTGGCAGCATCCAAGCATCCAATGCGGTGGCTTGAACCTTTGCGGGCATTCACGATCTGGCTCAGGGGAGGTTCGGCAGCAGAGTCCATAAGGGATGCCGCTTCAAGGAAAGGATCCTCGTGCAGCAGAAGCAAGCAGAGGTATAGACCGAGATTGCCCGTGGAAGCAGGCGGGGCAACACGGCTCCACGACTTGGCTGTCTCCAACAACCTGGAGGATCCCGAAGGCGAGGATACGGACTGTGAGTCAGTAGTGGGGTGCGAGGCAGGCAAAAGACCCTCACCGGGCATCTCGGGTGGGGTCGTGATGGGTCGTGTGGGCACGGATTGTTTTAAAATGATCGGAACCTCTATTCCATGTGGAGTTGAGTCATTGATGCAGGCTGCATGACACTCATAAAGGTCGGGAGCTCAAGCAAGACCTGCAGCTGAACGATGAAGTTGCAGATAAGACTTAATGCTCGGGGTTCCTTAGCTTTGAGCCAGAAAGAAGTTCTGGATGCTGAATGGTGACAACCTTTATCAGATTATCAACAACTATACGCTTTCTAGGGGTTGGGATGCCGATGAGCAGTATTTTGCCGTGGGGCTCTCTTGTTTGTTAATGCTTCACTTCCGTCTCTCTCGGGATCCAGGGTGCTGAAATACGAAGACCAGATGAAGCAGCACATCCGATTTGAGGCGCAATCTGGTGAGCATTTTCCACGTTGGCGCGATAAGTCCTTCTCCAGCTTAAGCATGCGCAGCGAGCACGAATTGCGAATTATGCGCGTATAGACATCCTGCTGTACATGAGACGATGCGGGATTGGCGTGTGCCTGAAGAAGCGAGTGCTGGATCCACGGCTTTTCTAAAACGATGCCTCCTTCGACAGAACTTCATGGCACAGTGGCAGATTTCTCAAATTTCTGCGTTCGATGAGACTGAGACGTCAGATACATGAAATTACACGAGCACATTGCTTCGCGGCAACAGCATACGTTGGCCGTTGCAGCGTGGCAAAGGCTCCCGGCTCCGGACTTCAGCTTCGCCCTGGCCCCCAAAACAGCATCAAACCGAGCCCTCAGGAAGGTTGATGCTGGCTGAGATGTTCTGAGGCCCTGGCCTTTCATGGGAGTTGGAACACGCAAAGGGCTGTTGATGCCGAGAATTGCTGTGCCGTCGTCTTTGACACCTCGCTGCAATGTGAAAAAGCGACGCTCCGGAGGCCACCCCGGTCTACCGACCTCTCAACTTTCGAGTCTAACAGCTTTCCCAAGCATCCTCTCCCTTTCGCTTTGATTTGAGGAGGAGCTGTCTAACATGAATCCCTAAACCCAGAACCCTAACCCTAAAAACCCTAAACCCAAACATCCCAAAGCCCAAAAGACTAAACCCAAGTTGATCCGCACCTCATTTTTGCAGCAAAGAGGCCGAAGTCCAGGGCCACTTTTCCGGAGGCAACTGGCGAGCTCTGGCCTTCCTCAGGCACGGCAGACACCTAGTGAGGTGCATGCTTATCATTAATATTCGTCTTCTCGTCATTACCATTGTCATTCTCATTATCTTTGGTATAAGCATTATCAATATTATACTCTAGTGCTATTTATCATGCGTCTGATTCCTTGTCTTCCGGCAGTAAGTGGTCGTTAGGCTATCCCTGGCGCGATCAAAGTTACTCCTGGCATTCTACGCCTTGCGCGGCACGCAAACACCGAGGCATGCCTCCTTTTGCCCGACGTCTGCTTCCTGAGGTCCAGGTGGATCCTGGCAAAGCACGGTCGAAATCTCAAAATCTGGTTGCTGGTACTGCTTCTGCTCACACGAACCAGAACACCACCAAGACTAAATGACAATGACTCCGAGGTCAAGAAGCATAAGATCGCAACAGATATGAGCGCACCGAACTAGCTGCCTCGAGCTATAGCATCTCCAGCTTACAGGACCTCAACCTCTTGTCCCAGAAGCAAGCGTGTCCATGACTGTTTTTCCAACCTCGCTCCACATGCAAAGCTCACAACGGTCAGAACGGGGAACTTGCTTGGGACTGGGGTTGAAGCGGCTCCTCGCAAGATCTCAGGAGGTCTAGGACATAAGAACACCATAGCCCCATAGCCACAGAGCAGCTTTTGAGGTCTTGGCTTCAAGCTCAAGCCGCTCAGGACGATCAGGCCCTCAGGGCTTCATGGATTCTGCCAGGGGTGCAGCCTCAGGCCTTTCAGGAGTCGGCCAGAAGGCTCCACAGAAAGCCGCAGCCAAGGCAAGAGCGGCTAAGAGGACTTTGAAGGCCGGACCCCAGCTCCAGAAGATGCAGGCAGTAAGGATATTCCCGGATCCGAGGAGGATGATCAACTTCCCGAGGCTTCCATGAAATGGAAAGGACTTCTGCCCGGCCTGCAACCTCCAGTACTTCATGAGACCCACCGCTGCCTGAAAGAGCATGAGCAATAGAACAGAATATCCCAAGAAGTCGTGGACTATTCGCGAGGGAACTGCCCAGGTGTGCTTTGCGAAGTTGTAGCCGAAGAAGGACGGGGTTTTCACGTGGGCCATGAATATGGCAATGTATCCACCGATTGCAACCAAAGTGCTTAAGATCATCACCCCGCGATGGGCAGATCGCTGCTCTTGCTTGTCTCCAAGAGACTCCGTGACGTAGGCCCAGCGACCCAACACCATCAAGCAGGGAAAAGCACAGGACATCAGAATCGGATGCCAGGTAAAGCTGGTGCTGAGGGTAGCGCTCCCCCCTGGCCCAGGGCCCAACATTCCGTAGGTCACAGCGACCGGCACTGCGAAGGCAGCGAGAATGAATATCGCGTCAACACTGGCGGCCATGATGCGAAGGAATTGGGTTGCCTCGATTGCTTCGTTTCGATAGCAGCAGGCCACATAAGTGAAATGCACTTCACCAACCCACAGCCCACAGTCACAAATTACAACAGCCATCTCTTCAATGAAAGCTCTCTCTCTCTCTCTTTTCTTTCTTTCTTTCTGCCGGGCTTAGGGGTCGGTCGACCGACCCTCAGGCGTTGCTCTCTCTCTCTCTCTCTCTCTCTCTCTCTCTCTCTCTCTCTCACAGCCAAGCTAAAGCAAGTGAACAAATCAGCCTGAGCTTAAGTGCAGCATGGATGCTCTTTCGCTACCGTGTAGAGCACAGGGCGACGGCCCCAGGAGGAGCGGGCACTCTGTGAGCCGACATGCCGGCTGGTCAAGGCCACACTTGCCACGGAGGCGGTTCATATATCGCAACTCCCACGCCAAATACACAAAGAGACGAGAGTGAAAGCGGACAGAAGGTGTTGTGAAAAGAAGCCGTGCGACATGCATCATTCGCATCGGCTTGCTGATGTTTTCCCTCGAAACGACAATACATGTGTCAAGACTTGGTCGGTGTTGCTGCTTCCTTAGTTTGCGTCTGGAGCGTGGGCCTCATCATTCTCACGATCGCCCCCTTCACCGCCATCTTCATCACCCGCAACTAGCAATATCATCACCACCACAACTATCATGGGCATCCTTGTTGTACCGTCGTCGCGGTGGTGACGGCAGTGGTGGTGGTGGTGCCGGTAGCAATAGCAGGAGTAGCAGCAGCAGCCGCAGCAGCAGTAACAGGTCGCCACAACAGCGCTCAAGTTTGCCCAAAGCAGCCTCGGCCTCCTCTGGCGAAGGGCTTTGCAGTGGAAGGGGGACCTGCGCCCGGAGAGGAGACTGCATACCCGGCACACGCTCTGACAAGTAGAGCAGTGTTGAGAATTCGATTCCTTGGAAGGCTCGGCCGCCTCCACAGCGGTTGGAAGGGCGTTTCCCGCCATCCATGCACCCACAAGTTCCAGGGCCTGGTATGGAAGGGCGGCAGTGCAGCCGTCCCTTCACGGATCTAGCTCTCATCAGGCCTCATTGATGGGTGTTAGCCGTCCTTCCAGATCGACCTGACTCGAGACAAGCATCAGATGGCCAGGACGGAGACAAGGGAGACAAGACCGCGCTCAACTTGTGCATGAAACTGCACTGTTCATGACTATCAGGATATCCTGTCAGCACCGGTCCTGGAAGCGTTCTCTGTCGTCGCAGTGCAGTACAATCAGCCGCAATAGGAGAGAAACCCAAGAGACTGATAGAGACTGAAAACAGAAAGACTGAGGGTGGCAATACAAACATAATGGTGCAGCAAGGCGCCTGCTCTTGCTGCTTCTGCGCCACGGCCTCTTTAGAGGCTTGCAGGCATTTCTCTGCTTGGCGGGCCGCGCTCTGCATGGACTCCTGCCAAGGTTTGATGCGTCTTCACAACTGTAATGCATTTTCTGGGCGTGGCCTTCTAGCTTTAGGCCTACCGACTTAGACAATCAACCGTTCCTTGGAAGCTGCACCAGCATCCGCCACCTCGGCATGTGCCGCTCATGACGCACTGGAAGTACCGGCACGGGAAACTCCGTCACCCAAATCGTCAGCACAAAGGCCTCGCGGCGCTGACACGCTCGCTGCCTCGTCGCAGTGAGCAGGGCCTGAGAGAAGCAATCAACTGAAACTCACGACGCCAAATGCGTTCATGGGGACGAAAACCAAACCTGCGAGTGTGTAGAGCTTGTGATCATCACACTTCCATGGTTGTTGGTACTTACCTTCCTTGTAATTGCATGCCTCGCCCCCACATCATCGGCCTCGATGCCCAGTATTGTCGCCTCTGCCTGCGGATGCTGATAGGCAACCAGGTAGAGGCAATGCATGCCAGCATGCTTTGTCGGCCTCCATCTCCAGCCGCGATTGCTGGACCAGCTCTTGGTCGGCCGTTTCGAGCTGCTGGCGGAAGAAATTGCCGACTCCTTCGACCGCCTCGCCCGAACCGTGGCATGCACGCACGGTATGACTGCAGACTTTCGGCTGCTGGGTGTCAGGCGACAGCATGAAAGCTGCTCCGCTCTCCCGGCTTCTTCTTGAGCGCCAGGGTCGCCGCAGTCAGCAAGGAATTTTCAGCCCCTGCAAACAGGCGCAGCATCTCAGACAGCAAGAAACCCATATTAACATGATGGAAGCCGAACCCTTATGAAAGGCAAAGCAGAGCAGGCGCTGAATGCAAAGGCCCACCTGTGTCAAGGAGGTGCTGCTGCAGGGCAGCGAAGCACTCCCACCACTCCTCGACACGAACATCAAGGACAACTGCTCAGTACACACTCGTTACCTCGCATCCGAACTTCACTACAGCACAACCATCAATCCTAATTTCTAAAAAACTCGTGCTCTCGAATCACATACGCTAAGTCTCACCTCAAAGACCGCTGACGAACACGTGAACGCATGCTGATTGAAGGCACTGAAAAAACATCCCCAAGATCGTTCTCATCATCAGCGAAGTCGTCGTCCTCCTCATCATCTTCAACATCATCATCCCCACGATATCATCATGGAATGACTGCGTGCTTGCATAAAGCAGCGAAGTTGAGGGTGTCCGCTGGGTGGTTATCGACGAGGACGACGATGGTGATGGCAATGATGATGATGATGATGACGATGCTGATGTTGTTGATGATGATAATGGTGATGGTAATGGTGATGATGATGATGAGGTGGAGGAGGAGGAGGAGGCGGATGAGGATGAGGAGGAGGAGGAGGAGGAGGAGGAGGGGAGGCGGAGGGACGACGATAACTGTGAAGATGATTGTGTTGCTCGCCCCGGTACAGTACTACGACCTTGAGACAAAACTTGCCAGGCCCTGTTCTCGCACATGCTGCCCCGCCGGAGCAGCGGGAATCCACAGACCCAAAGAAAGAGCCCTGATAACCTCTGCACCGGCTTGGCAGCTTAGCGATCGTTTTCAGGTCGTGACGGACGCCGTCGGGCTTACCGGATCGGTTCATCCGATTTCTGGAGCTGTTGGGTTTTCTTGCACAATTGGCAAGGCTGAGTTCGTCGGCTTTCTCAATCGCGGTCGGGACAAGCGTGTTTATCGGGTGTTCTGTTTTCAGTGGGCTGTCTGCAGCCCGGTCGAGCAATGGTATGATACCTAGTACCGATTTTGATGACAACATTCAACCGTTGGTTGATAGAGAAGACGAAGAGGATGGTATGAAGGTGATGATGGTAGTGGCGTTGTTGCTGCCGATGCTCAGAAGGAGGAGGAGGACGAAGAGGGGGAGTTAGGAGAGGAGGAGGGCGAGATGATGGCGATTGCAATGATGGCGAGGTCGAATCGTTTCCCGCGTGCTGGCACCTGTGGACAGGGGGACTGCCTTGATTCTTGGATACTCATCTGCTCATGATGGCGATGAAGATGGTGATGCTGAAGAGTGAAAAGGAGGCGTAAGCGGATGATGACTGTGGACAACAGTTGTCTTCATGGCCAAGCAGATGATCAACTAGGCTCCCAACACTTCCTGTTGCACATCCCCGCGACCGCTGCCATGACCACAACCATCAGCACCACCAGCACCCGCAATGCCGCCATCATCGTTCAACAGAACTGGTAGCATCGTACCCGAGTCAAAGGACGTGTCAAGTTAACCCACAACTCCCAGAAGTGCTTGTAGACTCCTCCTCACGAGCCCAAGTGCCCTCGGCGAGGCATTTCAGCGATGCTTCGGCTTCCGAGGCCTTCAGACGGCGCTTTTGCAATGCCGCCGTCTCCTGTGGCCAGGACGGGGGGCCTTTTGCGCTTTACGTGTCACTGGAGAAGCAAAGCTCCAAGCTGTCCTGGATAACGTCCTTGGCAAGGCCCCGCTTTCGCTCGAGTTCCTGTGAAAGGAGCGGAAGCCACTTTCGCTGAGACGCAAGCTGAAACCGTAGACACGCGAAACTCTAAACCCGTAATTCGAAAACGTCATAGTCCTGCTCTGTCTCGGCCACTTCAGTTTCCGTGTCTTTGGCTGCTGCCTGCGAGGCCCCAGTCAAACAAACTCGGCTTGTCGGTCCCGCAACGCAGCGCACAGAGCAGAATCATTTGATCCCTGGATGCTGGATACTTCCCCCTGACCCTAAACCCCTAATCCCCTAATCCCTAAACCCTAAACTCTAAATCGTTTTGGGAGCGCACAAGTCTGGAAGGGTGCCTCTGCAGCAGCGGCCGAATGGCACGCAGAGACTTCTGAGGCGAGAGCAGCCGTGGTCGCAGAGTCCTTTCCGCTAGGGCACCATCTCCAGAAATGTATCTATGTCTGTGTGTAGGCCTATGTATCTGTGTATGCATGCATGTATCAATGTACGTCTGTATGTCTGTATGCATGTATATATATATATATGTACGTATGTGTATGTGTATGTGTATGTGTATGTGTATGTGTATGTGTATGTGTATGTGTGTGTGTATGTATGTGTATGTATGTGTATGTATGTGCAGGGTAGGTGTGTGCGTACGTGTGTGTGTTTTTATATGTATATCTCTGTGTCTGTGTGTGTGTGTGCATGTGTATGTGTGTGTATGTAAATCCGACCTATACATGTGTGTGTGTGTGTGTGCGTATGTACATCACATAAACTGCATATATATATATATATATATATATATATGTGTGTGTATATATATATATATATGTATGAGTGTGTGCGTAACATGTGATTACATATTATTTCTTTGTATATATTCATGCACACTATATACATACATACATGCCTACATACATACATGCATACATCTTTACATACAGACAAACATACATACATAAAGAATACATACATGAACTTTTTCATGTCAGCGCAACAATACATATCTATTGGCGTAGAGCTTCGGCAAAATCTGTGCACTGTTGCGTGCCTGGGCTACCAAGTCCATCTCCGCTTTTTGCAGAGCCTCCTGCAACAGCACGTTGCTTCGCATCACGCTACGAAGCTGCAACCAGTCGGGAGAGCTTGACTGAGGCGGCTAATTAACAGTGGCCTCAATCGTGACCTTCGCAGCCTCCAGCTTGCTTTTGCCATCCAGAAGCGCATCCCGCGCTATACCCAGCAAGCGCACCTGCAGATGGGGCAACGTTGTAAATCAACGCTTCTGCGCATGCTTTCGGCTGTGCGCTGTGCCTGATGCGGATGCAACCTTGGCTGCAGTATGTTCCAGACTGCTCTTCGAATCGGTGACCTGGACTGCACGGTGCCGGCCGAGTGGCGTCGCGTCACCGTTTGCGCAGATGGAATGATGCAAGCTCTCCTGACACGTGCAGGCCTGATGCCAACAGACAGGCCCAGAATACTGATAGCAGACAAGGTTCAATTAGCATTTGCCGCGCTGGCAAAGGGTAGTCATCAAGCCGAAGAATCTCCTGACCAGCATTCCAGTGAATTGACCGGACTGGAGGCTCAGCTCAGCATAACCACACCCTTTTCCATTGCCGAGATTGGAAATCTAAGACTCTAAGGAGCCATCTTTGGGCTTCTTAAGCGGCTTGCTTGCTTACAGCTAACGAAAGCGATGCCGCAGAGGCGGCGAAAAAATCCGGCTTCAACTTGCCACTGGCGTGGCGGACTTCATCCCTGGATGTCACACCAGAGAGCACCAAGAGTGTGCGCATGCCTCCCAGGACCAATAATAGGACGAAACTGCAATTTCGATTGCTGTTGCCCCAAGCCTGCCAATTTTCCGAAGGCGATATCCGTATCCAGTCCTGCAGTCTTCTCGTGACGGGGGCCAGCCAGACACTTCTCGTGTTAGCTGCAAACAGGTGGCTGTCGCCCACCATCACCATTCTCCGAGCTGGCGGTGAGCCCAGTGATGCCCGGATGATCTGCGCGAATTCAATGCTGGGCTTCCCTCACAGGGAGGCGGCATCTCATGCACACATGCACGCATACGGACAGAAAGATCGACACTGTCGTGCCGAATCAGGCACTCATGCAAAGCAGCAGTCTGGTTCCGGGTCCTGCCACAGCATCTGCCCCTCTCTCACCGGTGCGCCCGGCAGCAGCGGCGATGGCCGCAACCACTGAGCCAGCGCCGGGCCACTGCTGTGTGCCGGAGCCCAGCTGCCCGAAAAGGTCCTCTGTCGACACTAGGCTAGCTGCCTTTGGATGGGTGTGTCAGATTTTAAGCGTTAGGTAGGCGATCACAAACAAACGCTTCTGAACTGAAGATACGAAAAATGAGCAGCCAAACCCAGAATGCCGTAGCAAAGAACAACAGGCGATACCGTGCAGCATAGCATTACATCTCGCATCGCATGCGACGTTCCAAACTTCGTCAGTGTCTGTCTTCTGCAACACCAGGTATCCTGCATCATGCATACTCTGTGACCTCAAACCACTGTCGGCAAACCAGTTAAGCATGCTGCATGGTGTATATCGTGCTCATGTCGTACTATGCTGTCTTGTTTTTATGACAGGTATCCTTGGTATTTTTTGCTGTATCTACCACTGCAAGGAATCAGAATATAGTCTTTGGCACCATAGTGTCCCGACCTTTATTACTTGAGGGGTGGGTTACAAATCTTCCACTTCTCGCTGCATCTTGCTGTTGTGCATGAGACTCGCGTTTCTGGATAACTGCTCGTAAATAGACATGGTAAAAGATGTGCGTGTGCTTGCACGCCATCGTAGGGGCATAGAAAGAACGGAACGAGAGAGGGAGAGGCTCTGAGAGACAACGATCGCGAGCGAGCGAGCGAGAGAGAGAGACAGAGAGAGAGACAACAGAAACTTTGTGCATATGCATGTGTGCTTGCTTTTTGCATTGTTGGTATTCGCCTGTGCATGCATGCATGCAGGGCAGGCAGGCATGTACCGGCCTATTCTTCTAACTACTGTGTGCATCTGCACCGATCGAAATTGTGTAATTCCAGCTTCTGTTCGAGTATGATGCGAGGTGACACAACCACCACACACCTGCCCGTACATCCAACGTGCGAACAAGTGTCATCGTTGGACGCAAAGAGGGGCAGTCCATGCCGCACTAAATGGGCCGCGATGGCGATCTTGTAGTAGTTCACATGCTGATCCAGGCCTGAGGCGTTTGTGCAGCACGAGTACCTGAACACCCCATTCGAGCATGCTTATCTCAATGAACATTGGCCGAAGAAAGCCAAACCCAAGAGCATCATCAACCGAAGGTGTCTGTGGCTGCGACCACAAACAACGGCGCCACTGCCTCAGCAGGAAACCATGCTGCCGGCTTGGTCTTTTGCAAAGCAGGTGCTGGTGCAGAGCTCCACAAGATAGCCAGTTCTGGTCCAAGTGGCTATTTCCTTCGCCTAGCCTCGGCGGGTGAAAGATGCGTCGTGCAACAACGTGCACGAACACTGCAGAGCTGAGCTGTATCACAGGAGAGTCGTAAGCCGCGGGCTCATCGATGGCTTCAGCAATGTCTTCCTTGGTCTTGCCTGTGAAAAGCTCTCTAACAGCCGATCAGTTTTGTTGCCACCAAGGATTCGGCACTGGGCCAACGAACTCGGATCCGGCAAGGACGTAACGGCAACCCAAATCATGCTACTCTCGGAGCTTCAATGATTTACGGAAGTTTAGCACAACGACAATGCACCAGCGATAACATGCCGTGAGACACGGAAAGAAAGGCGAAACGACGAAACCTGCAGCAGACTACAACATTCAGAATGGAACAGTGAAACACATGTAGCATTCAACCACTGAGCAGTGAAGCAATCTAGCAGCATGCAGATTTTAAAACGGATTACGAAGGCATGCAACAAGGATGCTCACAGAAATATGCCATCCACGCGTTATACCTATACGTAGCGTATGCCATATTGTAGGCATGTGTAGATGCATATACTTAGACTGCATGTATACCTGCATGATACGTACAGGCACGCAGACAGGCAGGTATGTACCGGATTGTACCGGTATATATGGAATGTGGATATATTAGAGTATATATGGATCGATGGATGGATGGATGGATGGACCAGATGGAGGCATAGATTCGCGTTCATGTCCTGTATGTATTCCCTGTTAGCAGCTGCATAATTGCGAAATCAGAGCGGATGCATGCGGATGTCTCACAGCTGCACCGCCGAACCTACAGCCACCCATAACATCCCCCACGAAAAGGGTGCCTGCATCCTCGGGTCCACCCCGAGTGCGGTAGCCGAGCGCTTGGACCTCGTCCCGCAGCCCAGCCTCGGACTCGAAAGCTCGAAAAGGAAAAGGAAAGAGCCGCCTTTCTTCGCTGGGCAAAAGGGAAGTCCGAGTCCCTCTAAGTGGCAGTGAAACTGCTGATGGACAAAATCCTGCATTCCCCATTATAGACTCTATGCCATGGTTCCCATAGTTTAGAGTCCTTAGGGTCATGCAGGATTTTGTCCATCAGCCGTAGTGATAGAGTTTGAAAGTGCCGACTTTGAAAGTTCAGAGGTGTGCTAGCTTGGCGGGCCGGCAAGCTTCACAGGCAGAATGAAGCTGAGGTCAGGCGGTTCGTACACAGGCTTGTTGCGGGATATTTCTGATGTCCGAGGTTTACGGATGCGTCGACAAGTCCTACAGACTCTTGCCGAATTGGGTCAACTGCTCTAGAGACCACCTTAGCGCGACTGTAAAAATGACCAGAGGTTGCCAAGCGTTGCAACCTCTGTCCATGCCCGAGCAACCTCACCAACCACATAGATGTCCCGATCTTTGGAGACTCCACGTCTCTCCTGGAGATGGACAGAACTCTTAAGGGTTGCAGCAGCTCTGTAACATGCAGTTCTGCAGAGCCGAGCTGAGTCTCCAGAAGTTGCGCGACCGCTGCAGCGCTGTTATAAACGTGCTGTTCTTCAGCCCAGTCCACACCCAGCAACCTCAATCGGCCAGCAACCTTGGCTACTGGTTTACGGCAGCGCAAAGGCATGTCAGCGATGCAGAACCAATGACACAAGAAGGGCAATTTGGGCCAGCTTCAGGCATGCAACATCAGCTCGGGTCCGCATGGCATTGTTCGTTGCAAACACGACGACCTTGCCCGACTTGCGCAAATCAGCCAAAGCCTGTTGGACGCCATCTACCTGCCACCGGAGGCGAGCACAGACAACAAACACTCACCAGTCTGTCGCTCCCTCAAAAAAATATCTCTCTGTGATGTGTTGATGGAAGCACCAGCTTGTCTCCGATCCAGATCACGCCGTCAAGGTCGAAGACGAAAACATCCACACCTGCGCCAGAAGCCGCGGGGGTGCCAGATCCCGCAAAAGGCTGTGTCTGGGCGAGGCTGCCGAGGCGCTGTTCAGAAGCTTCTGCGCAGCTCTCTCGTCCAGCTCACGGCTCTGGGACCAGGGAGCCGAGAGCGCAAGGCTCGGATTCGGGCTCGGCGCCTGGGCGGCTTTGCCCTGATCCACCGCCTGCCAGCCGCGCAGCCTGAGGCCGCAGTAAGCAAGCCTGGCACATCGCAAGCACTGACTGTGGCAAGTTTGCCAAGAAGCAGGAACGTGGCAGCCACAAAAGCCACCAGCAACCGTCTCGGTCGTTGTATCGGCATGGCTACGGTGCCTACAGCTGCTTCACCTCTCAAATCACATCCCTCTATGCTAGCTCTCTTCGTGATAGTTGTGTTTCAGCCTCGGGCTTCGACAACCAGGGCTGCGAGCATCACATGGCCACGGCGGGGCACGGCACGCTGGAATGGGTTCGGGCTTCATCCCTGGGCTTGGTGCAAACATGTGCAAACTCCTTGACGACCTTCTCGCATTGCTGCGATCGCTGCGATTTCTTCAGGACCTGAACTAGCAACTGAGAGACCATGCGGACACAACGATCTGTAACTTCGCAGCATCAACGCATGCAAAGTCTTGCTTACAGCTTCGGGCCTCTTGGTGGACGACAAAGCTCAGTCGTCGTCGGATTCTCTTCCTGCCAACCATGTCCAGTTTCGGGAAGCCGAGGGGCGCTGTGACTTTGAACCAACCCACCTGCCTGGCTGCGAGAGCCCCGTCTGTCAGACCGAGGTTCCCTTCCAGCCTGCAGGATATTGCAGGATGCACCGCTACCACGACCTGGCGGTGGTGTGCGCAGGAAGCCTCGCCCGGAGCGCGCCGAGAGTCATGGACTGCAGGTCCACGTTCACCAGGATGGACTGGACCTTCACAAGCCGCGCAGCTCCGCGAAGCTCCGTGAAGCTCTGGAGCATCCAAGCCGGCCTCTGCAATCAACCTTGCATCTGGGATGCCGCAGGCAGCCTGGCCATCCCAAACGAGCTCAAACACAGTCTTCAAACAGCATGGCCGCAGCATTGGAGCCTGTGTGCTGCTCGTCACACTGGTCAGAACTTCGGTACTCTCCTCCGGAGCTCCGCTCGTGACCACTGCCGGGCTTTCATCGGGCTCTTCCTGGTTCGGTGTGCTTCATATCATTTCCCAATCTCGAATGACACGACGTGTTAGGCACACCTGCTTCTCTCTTGTAAACTCGGCCGTTCCGCACTTCTGGATCTTGCAAGGTACCTCGCAGGGGACGTGACTGTGGCATGAGGAAACCTCTGAAGCTCAGCCCATCGAAATCGCCTCCTCTCCTGGGGAGCTCGGAGCCTTGGCCTTCTGTGCCATGCTGCCCCTGCACACGGTGACTATAAACATGTTCATCTAGTAGTCGCCGTAGCTGTTGACAAGATGCCTCATATGACTTTAAGCTCCAGGCCTTGTGGTTGAGGCCGCCTATGAATTACTTGAGCCCGTGCCACGGAAGTGTTCTGATCTCGCCCGCTCGCCATCTTTCTGGATTAGCCGCACGCTCGAGAAAGCAGTGCGACCCCGCAATTCTCTGTGGGAAACTGCACCTGACCCCGGTGATGCTATTCAGGAGGATGATGACGATGATGATGATGATCACGATTATGACGATGGTGATGATGATGATGATGATGATGATGGCGATGCTGATGGACATAGTGATGGTGATGGTGATCCTGAGGGTGATGGTGGTGCTGCTGCTGATGGTAATGATAACGTGATGAGAGAATGCACAGGCACGGCAACGTCTCTTCTGGGTTGCTTCCATGAACCTCATGAGAGCGACAAAGCTCTTACTTCTCCAACCCTTGCTGGCCTTGCTTGTTTGGGGGTGTGGGGCCGAAACGCCGTCTCCAAATGTCTCCAATGATTCTCTCTCTCCCTCTCTCTCTCTCTCTCTCTCTCTCTCTCTCTCTCTCTCTCTCTCTCTCTCTCTCTCTCTCTCTCTCTCTCTCTCTCTCTCTCTCTCTCTCTCTCTCTCTCTCTCTCTCTCTCTCTCTCTCTCTCTCTTCCTTATTGCACGGCGCACCAATGTCTGCCAATGTCTACCTTGCCTGTCGTTGCCGCATTGCTACAGCATCGCAGTCAGCTCAGCTCTGGCACTATCAATTGAAGCGAGCAACCTCTGCCAGTTCTGAAATATACATGATTAAGCTAGAGTGGCGCTAAGGTTTGTAAGGCACAGGTAGATGTAGTGAAGTGGACGTAGCGAGGTGGAGTGAATTATGCATGGTCTGATTCGGCTGTGTCGAACTATGCTATGCTATGTTGTGCGTTGTTTTGCTATGCTACGATGTTATGTTGTGCTGCATGTATGTCATGTGCATATGTGTGTACCTGTAACTGCTTCTTCATGCACATACGCCTGTGTGGATCAGAAATGCTGAAAGTGACAGGTGCCAGCCGGCGAAGGGTGACACGCCAGTAGCCTCTCAAGTCGGCTCTCTGAAATCTGGACACCACCGAGAAAGTTCGACACACGTTGCCCGTAGGCAGTTCCGAGGAGTTTGGATATTGAGCCGGCAGGAGCGAAGATACTCATGCCTGTTTACGAAAACTTCGGCGAAGCTTTCTCGCGTCCCCTGCATGCAATGAGTTGCAAGGCCAGCCAGAGCATGTGCAGCACTCAGGAGTTCTTGGTCACAGCTTCGAGCTGTCCGCAATCTCCTCCAGCCACGCCCGATGCTACAAAGACGCTCTTCACGCAGCAGAGTCGAGCCAAGTCCTGTAGCCACTGCCCCATCTTGCGCGAGCCGTGTCTGTGCCTGACACCAGGAAAATGACGGACGGCATCTGAAGGCCCTGAAGTTTCTGGGAAGCGCACCTTGCATGGGAATGTTCTTGATCCATGCTGGGCATCGCCTGCCAGCGTGGCAAGTCAGTAATGGCAAATTTGCTTAGCAGGCGCTTCCCTGAGGCTGTTGCATTCCACTGCGAGGCTTCTGACTCTAACCTGAAGCCGCTTTAGGCCGCTGGTACTCCGCTGGTTCTGTGTAGTTCGAAAGGCCGGCAGGCCATGGCAGGCCTCAGCACCTCGAGCTCTTTCTGCTGCTGCTGGTGAAACCGCTCCAGCTCCTTCTCTTGATGCCTCCGCGTGCTGTGTGGTGCTGTGGAGAGATTGAGATGGCATCGAGGATTGTGCCCTCGCCTCTGCAGCCGCCGACGTAATTCGTCCAGTTGCTGATCTTGACGCAACTGCCAAGACGGGGCACAAGTCCAAGACCATCAGAGTCTGCACATTCACGCATCCAGGCGCCTGCAGCTCCAGCAAGGCAGCGCGGTCCTGTTGTAGCCGACGTACCCGGGACATACTTTCCGCCTGCCCAGAAGCATCTCAACCCCTTGCTCGAGGCTAAAAACTCGTCACTGCCTGCACCGTCGGGTCCTCTTCCTGTTACGGCCCGTGCATCAAAAGGGCGCAGGCAGCAAGGCGACGTTCCAGTGCTTGCGAGGGGCATAAGATTCATGTGCTGGCCGGCCGTGAAGCTGCGTGATCTCAGGAGTTGCCGGCACCACACAGCACACATCTCCCCGACCTCCCTAACGCTCCGGGGAAGCTTACCATGCTAGCATTATCTGCCACTGTACCGCCCTATTTCGCTGCTCAGATTCGAGTCTACTTTCAGCGCCAGACACTCTGTGGATCTGCATCGTCCTTGCCAGCCGCAGTACTCCATGACACACCCTGTCCATGCACATGACAGTGCACCGTTCCCAAAGAAGCGATGCAGCAATGCTCGTGACGAGCAATCTGGTCCTCGTCGTCGTCTATGACCTGTGCCAGGTACCGCTCTGAACCCGAAGAAGGCACTCCGCTCCCAAGGTCTATGCAGTCTACCCTGAGGTCATTCGGCAACAGCGGTTCATATCGGCACTCTCAATGCGCGTATGGATTCAATAGCTATCATATTTTCCGCCTGTTACAACACTATGCTTATCGTGAGTACTCAGTACCGGTAGCAGCAGCAGCAGCAGCAGCAGCAGCAGCAGCAGCAGCAGTAGGAGCCGTTCGTTTCACATTGTTGTGGTTTTTTCTGGTCCGTACAAGTCAAAGAGCAAGACAAGCACCACCTCGGTTTTGCTCGAAGGCGACGAAGAGTCCTCGTTCTCCTCATCCTGAAGTTAAACGCTCTTACGTGTTCTTAATGGTCGGCTTCGAAGCATTAGCTGTTGGTTGATCATTGGTATTGTTATCGCAACCATCGCCTTCCTGTGCAAATTTCGTATGCCATACCGAATTTCAGTATGGCTCCAAGTGCTGCAACCGTGATGACTAGCCGCCCGTGTTCCTGGCGGCACCGGCTTAGTGTGATTTCTGCTCTTGCCTCCTGAAGTGCGATATGCTTACTGATCCTGGCTCAAAGGGTGGAACCAATATCTTGAGCACACCCTGCTCGGGTCCTCGTCACTGTCGCTTGGCTCTGTGCCTCAGCGGTGCTTATCCCAACATATCCCAACGTGCCCAAACTCACAGCTTCCGACAGCGCAAGCCGGTGAGGCCCCAGCTGGAATTTGCCTTCAGCTTCGCCAACGCCTCCTCTTTTGCACGCGCCTCCTCCGCGAGTTCCCCGGCATCATGACCTTCCTTTGTCGCTTGCTCGCTTGTGGCGATCTGAACAGCAGTCGTAGTCGTGATGGTAGTAGGAGTCTCTGACGCGGTGCTCGTTGTAGTAGTAGGCTTTGTGGTCTCAGAGGTGCTGGTCGTGGTAGTGTCACCAGCACGCGAGGTAGAAGAAGTGCTGTTGGTGACGGGCGAGGTAGACGAGGTGCTGGTGACATCCTCGCTACCTCCCATGTCACGAGACCACAAAAACTTGAAGTGAGTCTGCTACGCCATGTTTACACCACGGTTGCTCAGAAGAGCATACCCGGCACCGACCTTCGGCTGCTCCAGCTGCAGCTGCGGCATCTTCTGCCTGAGATGGCAGCACGGAAGCGGCACGATGCGGTCTGTCAGCACGAACTGGAGACATGCCAGTCGAGCTGCAGAGAAGGTTGCTGGCGACCAAGTGCCACCACTCTCCTGCAACCCGTTCTGTGCTCAAGAACTGATGTGCTGAGGGGAAGCCGACACATGTTCATTTTCATGTTGTGTCAGTGGTGAGGTGCAAGTGTGCCAGCAGACATTATCCCTGAATCCCGAGCCTTGTCCAGCACGTCCTTCCTGAAATCCTGCCAGGCCGACATGTGAAGGCTCTAATGGAGAAGTGAGTACTGAGCTCGCATGAAAAGTAAGGCTCCTGCAGCTACACTGGCACCAGTCATCAAGATAAGACGTACAACTACTCATACAAATCCAGATTTAGAAGGGTCATCAACTCCGGCCTGCGGCACCAGCTTCTTCGATCGCTCGTTAGACAGTTCCTCCTTCACACGACTTTTAGGGCCTAGGGGTTTCGGTGATCAGATGTCATGAGGCTTCGGGCTGCTACTAAACCACAGACCCGAGGCCGGAGGCTGGGGCTTTCAAAAAAACATCGGCTTCCATGGGGCCATGTAACCTGTAATCCACTCTACAGAGACTCTACACACCCCATGTACGAAACCTTTTGACTTCTTGAAGCAATGTGGATGGTATGTCGGAGGACCTCCCTGTCGCTGGTCTGTCAGGATTTTGGGACCGCTTTTGGCCACATGGCGGCACCGGAAACTTAAACACTCAAGGATCAATCCCAAGCCCTGGCGATGGACAAGTTTCTACTTGTCTGCATAACGAAACTCGGTAACGGCTCCAAGGCGGCTCTAGCGCTAGCCGCTCGCGGATAAATTATGTCAAAGTGCATCCGCAAAGCCCCAAAGCCCATGCCACCTCACACTGCATGGGCCTTGCTACATTGTTGCTGGACACAAGACAGCCCAGTAAAACCCGTCGAGCAAAAGCAATGCCAAGCCCTGCACCCGAAATCTTCAAACCGCAAATACCAGACCACCCACTAGTCATGGCAACAGCTTGAACCGGTGACATAAACATCCCTTGACCCGCAAACTGAAACCTTCGGCCCGGGGCAGTGACTGCCAAGAGCGGTGGCACGAAGGACAGATTTTCATCGGTGGCATTGCTCTCACCAACCTAGCCCAGGAGAGGCTGATTTTGTCGACGGGCTCTTTTCTCCGGTGGGTTTGGCTTCCGACTCGATGAGTTTAGAGTTTGGGGTTGAGGACTGCAGTGTGTGCTCGACTGCCCAAGGGTATGAGGGGATGTTGCTTCAATGTCTGTCAATCAGTCCATCACAGAATGCGCAGTTCACAAGCGCTGACCATATCCGGTTTTTGAGCATGCTTGTTAAAAGACTTGCCTAACATGTCATGGCTCAACTCATCGGAGCTACAGAGTGACGGCGGCCCACTTTACTCTTTACTGCAACAGATATATTCAGCCTTCTTTTCCCCCTTCTTGTTTCCCCTCCTTTCCGCTAGTGGAAAGCCGAACACACAAGCCAAAGCCCAGCAAAACAGGGACTGCCTTGATCGCGGGGACGTTGGACAACAGCACCTGGGTGGCAGTGGCCGGAACCACCAGCCCCAGCCGTCAAAGCACAACCGACCATCCCATCCCTACCTTGCCTCATCTGGCGCCACAGTTGTCGTTGTGGCTGTGCTTGTCGTGGTTCTTCGTGTTCTTTTGCTTTTCCAGCTGGAGTCGATGGCCGACCCGGTAGAGTTCTTGATGTATTTGCTGCCGGTGCTCGTGGTCGTGGTGGTGGTTGTGGTTGTTGTGGTGGTGGTCGTGGTTGTGGTTGTACTTGTGTGCTTGTAGTAGTCTTGCAGATAATGGTCAGCCACCATCATGTGTACCTGGCATAGCAAAAGGAAGCCGCGACAAGCATCTGGATCGTGCATCCGAACCATCTGAAAATGCGAATAATGCTTTTGATGCAAGAAAGAAACTCATACCGTCGCGCCTCTCTGCTTGCATCAGAGCCCGACATAAGTGCTCGCTCGAAGGCGCGTTCATGATCTAGCCTCGATGCAGAAAAGTCACGCCACTGCCGCCCGAAGAATAAATTGCTGACTAGCCCAGATCTGTCCACATATGTCCCGATATCAGAAGCGCCCTGCAGTCGAGCAGCAGCCTGTCACCTTGACCGGGTTTTGCATCCCGCTTGACGCTGCTGGCATTCACCAGAACGAGCTGCGTGCTGGGCCCTGGATGCGGCATAACTTGCAGTGCCAGTAATTACCAGAACAGCAAACGATGCGATATCATCAATCCATCTCAAGTCCCAACATGCGGGCTGTCCTGACCGACTTTGCGATGTCCGGCCGAAACCCCAGGCTTCTTCCTTACGGTTGCGGCCGTTCACAAGTGCACAGGTGCAACATCTCGGCGATGTGTCGGCATGTCCAAGCAGTCCGCGGATGACTGAGGACCCACGCATGTGCAGACCGTGGCAGTCGCTCCACTATTGGGACCTGCTGCCCGACATGAGTGGCAAAGGTGGTATGAAGCTCACACGCATTGCCAATGCTATGGATGCTCTCCAACGCAACAAAACAGCAACAGCTGTGACGTGGACCCTGTCCAGAGCACTTTGCTCACCGCGGCCTCACAATGCAACTAGCCATGTCCAGACAGCTTTTTGAAACTGGGCTGGCGCCAACCAACCGAGACTCCAGCTGTCTTCTTTTGCTGCCAAATCCTCCACCTGGTGCGCGTCCTGGCCAACCATGTCGGCAAACGACAGTCAACAGTTCGGCATGGTATGTCTGCTCTGAAAGGTGCCTTGACCGTTGCGGGCGGGTGGGACTCCTCCTCCTGACACGTGTCACGAAGCCGTTGGCGATGCTCTCATACTATAGTTACTCTCAAACTGTTAGAGCGACACGGTGTGCTGAAAATGCCTGCTCGTCGTCGCATCCCTGAAGGAACAACGTTGCAGAGAGGAGCTGCGCAATGAGGACGGAGCCGCGCAGCACCGCCCTCAGCTGCCTTGTGATGCACATCTCATAACTTTTCTGACTGTTGCCCTCGCAAGATCGCATCATGCTGAAGCACGACACAGCACCGCGCCTCATGCAGCCTTGTAGTTGGCGCTGCCTATCGGCAGTTCCACCTTGACACGTTGAGCGCTAGGTCCACGCAGCTTCGGAGACTCTACGAAGCAAGATGCGATGCAACATGAGGAAATGATTGAGGAGCTCCCTTAACACTGCGAATAATCTGGTGATGATCAGACTCGAGTGATTTGTTCGGCTGGGAGTTTAGAGCAGACTTGGGCAGGATCATGCTGCACCCCTTGCAGCACGTACACGATTGAGGGGCCCAGTGCCCAATGTGTTTTAAAGTCGGGTTTGCCGCACTGTGAAGATGCAAAGCTAACGAGATCCCTACCGCTGCTGCTGCATTGAATTCTGGGAGGCTGACGTGAAGGGAATTTCGCAATGCCCGCAAGTTCACGCCGGCAAGTGAAAGGCCTGATATATAGATACGAATGACGCTCAAAGCGCTGCGGAAGACGTGAAGAGCTGGATGCATGCCTATGTGGGTGTGTGTGCGTGTGGGCGTGTGGGTGTTTACTTCTTTTTGTCAGTCTGTCCGCCTGTTCTGCGGACCCGATTTACAGGCCCTTTTGCTCCCTTCGGCACCAGACATTGACGTGCCAGGCACTCGTGCATCGATGCATGCATGCATGCGTGCTGCTGACTCCCTGCGTCGATACGGAAGTTATTATGAAGAGATCATTCTGCTGAGGAGACAAATCATCTAAACAAAAAGAAGCTGCTGAATCAAATGCGACTGCATGCAGCGAAATAGTCATTGTCACACAAAGTGTCGCCATCCCAATTATCGTCGTGGTGACGGTTGACTGTCACCGCTAACTATGCTGACGATTTCAAGAATGACTCAGGCGCTCATCTCACAGAGCACTTGCTCATTTATATGTAACTTTATGGGCATTGCTGCACTCACTGTGCACGTTGCAAGCCGCTCCTTTTTTAATCGAATGCCGCATACTTATGATGATGCAGCTGCTCCGACCGCATCGGCCAGGGCATCGACGACAGCCTGCGACCATCTGCAACATCGCATCGACCCTTGTGGCTAGATGGCACAGGAGCGTGTGATTCTCCATTTTGAGCTACGCTCCTTCCGCACAGGGCCATCCAGGAGCAGCTCGACCCTCTGTGCCATGAGCTTGTAGCTGTCTTTCGCCTGCCCAGAGCCATGAGGTCAAAGCATGTAGAAGCCGGCTACACCCGGTGCCTTCGTGTCAGCATCAGACTGTCGCACGTTAAACCTGAGCGAAGGCCGTCAAGCACCGGAAACATTCCGCAACAGTCTGGTGGGTGAGCTCAACTATTTAAACCAACCAAGTGCTCATAGTAGTGGTCGTCGTCGCAGCACCAGCCGCAGCTGCCCTGGCCCTAGCTGTAGCAGCAGTAGAGCAGTGGCGTGAAACTGCCGCCATCGTCGGATCGTTGGGACGGCAAGCGACTCCAAAACACAACACGACATGACCCAAACACGAATCAAGGAAGCCGATAGCCGGGGACACAGATCTCTTCTCTTTCGCATTACCATCATATAGGACGTATCTACTACTGACAACGATTCCGAATTCTGACATTAGGATCCGGTATCCATGCAGCACTATCTAAATGTTGAAGACATACGCTGTCACTCAGTTTCGACTCTAGTTGAGTTGATGCTCTGCACAAATTTGAACGAGTCTGGGCATAGTTCAAGGGCCGTAGCTTGGGGCCAGAAACTCGCGTTCAACTGAAACGCTGACGCAGGCAGGGAAGTCGCATCCAGGTGCCGTAAGGTCAGGGTTCATGTGGAGGTGTGATCAGAGGCCCTGGGCCCTGAGCCGTAGAATGAGCACAGGTGAAACAAACTGAAACCCCAAGCTCTGGAGTGCCTCGCATGAGGCCCTTAAAACCCCAAACCCTAAACCTCAACACCTCGAAGTCTCAGCCGCCAGCTCACAGAAGCGATAGAAGCTGCAGGCCAGTGCACCGGCAGCCATAAAGTCCGGGAACGTCCTGGGCTACGGGTTTAGTTTTTGTTGTTTGACTCTTCTTTTCCTCCCTGTTACAGTCGGAATGGGCTCAAGCGGTTTAGGGTGCAGTATTCCCTTTTGGCATGTCCAGGCTTCGCCCTTCTGTCTTGCGCAGCTATTATTCGTGCTGACAATCCCTGTTCAAAGTTAGGGCTCCGAGTTCAGGGGTGCTGTGGAGGGCTCTTTTGGGGTGTAGTAGGACTGTCTTTGGATTTCGGGGCAAAGTGACTCTGATCCAGTGAGCAAGTCTGAGTAGGGTGCTGCACCTCCAAGGGGGACAACGTCCTCTGCCTGCCGATCTCAGCTGCAACACGAGACTTTGAATGACCAGTCTAGCAGACTTGCAGAAGCAGAATCCTACCATTCCTCAGGCTTTTCGAGCCTGAGGTATTCCTTGAGCAAGACCTGCGTCAGATGCGAACAGCTAGAATGAGTCCTTGTAAGGCCCCACTGATGCAATGAAAGGGCCGTAAGATGCTGTAAGCGCCAGGCCCGTAGTCTGGCCTCCATCAACTCATTCGCTGCCTCTGCTACACATTTGCAAAAATTTTTATAGGATCTACTACGATGAAAGGGAGAAGAATGAAGCGGTCAAGTAAGACCACGACAAGATACAGCAAGCTTCATGACTCCAAAGTTGTTGCATGAACCGGTTTGCTTGCTTCTCCGTTTTGCCGCTCCAATTTCTGGGTCCCGGGCAGAGAAGCAGCAGGCACTCGCACACACGGCCAAATCCACGACGTAGGGGCCGACGCAGGAGTCCTGGCTTGGCAGGCTTCGGTGAGAGCGGGCTGTCTGCGAAGAAACGGCAAGATGAGCACGCACGACACCTTTTCGACTGTCCTCTCGCATCAGGGACTTCCCAAAGACTTCTCCGAAACCAGAGGCTAAGACTTGCTGCGCACTCAGTAGCATGACACAAGCGGACCCAGCCCGCAGCGCATCGCAGGTCGAAGGCATCCGGAAGCATCGCGCTGCCTCGAGAGAAGAGTCGCACACGGCCGCCGCACCCTGAACTTTGAGCAGCCAGAGCCTCCCCGGCCTCCCACTGCCCTGCCATCTCCTGCTGAAGTCTCCTCAGAAAGCAAGCAAGGAACAATCAAGGAGCCAAAAAGCATGAAGGTAGGACTTGCGGTTGCCTACTACATTGAGGCCCTCTCCCAAGCACTCACTGCAAAGATCCGCCCAGATGAGGGCAAGTCAAGTAGACGTGTAGCCCGGGATCTGTAAAGCTGCTTGGTGAATGGTCGATTATCTTTCCACCTGCCCCAACGTACCCCTCTCTGCATAGACCCACTGATGCATTTAGAAAATCGCCCCCCTTGCTTGGACCATGGACAGGGGTGATCAGCCTGTGAACCGTCCCCTGCGATTTGTCGAATGCCCTTGAGCCAAAGTCGTTGTCATCACGCAAACTCGATTTCAGAAGCCAGAACCCTATTCGCCCAAGAGCGGCGCTGGCACTCTCCGTGCATCGGTTGCAGATGAGCGGCCACTGCCGCACATCCAGCGCCAGCTGGGATCTTCGGGATTGCGCAGGAGACCTCGATGCCATCCTCGAAAGATCTTTGGCCAAATCTCTGTCATAACTTCGCCTTGCCTGCGAGCCTGTAATATCTGTGTCATATAGCGGCTTTCTCAGAACAGCTTGCATCTTGCAGAGCCGTCAGACCCGTTTCACTGCTACACTGCTACACGCTTGTGATACCCCCAAGCTGATTAGTTGGAGCGAGCATCTCTCGAGCCCCAGAAGAAGCGCGAGTGGTAGTGGCCCGATGACCGGACGTAGTTTGCATAAGCACAGCCGCACGTCACTCGACCTGAGAGAGCATGACGCTGCTTGTAGGAACCGCGACGGGCACAGCTTCTTCTTCCTGCTCAGCTAAGCTGTAGGCGGCAGTCCGCGCGATTGCATCCGCCGATATTGTCCGCCACAATGACGCTCCCTTCTTGTATGAGCCCCCAGGCCTGCAAGCTTCGTCAGGAATCCGAAGTGAGAACATGTACACCAAGAGAGATCAAAGCAGTCGTACTGTGGCCTCCAGGCGCTGGATCTCCTCGAGATACAGAGCCTTCTGGTGGTCCATGAAGACGAAGTCGAAGGGCGCCAGCTGGAGCAGCCTCTGCCTCAAGCTCACAGGGCCCCAAGGCGATGCCTTCTGCTTGCATAAATGCAACTTGCGAACTTCAGCGTCTCCAGTGTGCCCTGCAGAACCACCACTTTGGCTTCTTGTCCCGCATGCCTATGGTCACAGATCACGATGCACTGCACGTAGGTAAGAAGATGTGAGAAGTACGATGCCAAATGTGCTGCGCTACTCAACTGATGCTTCGGCAAACATGGCATTCTGGCAGTTCTCCTCCACTGAGTACAGGTGCGCCCCATCCTGAGATATCTATTTTTGCAGCACACAGCGCCACTGCCAAACATCTGCCAGGCGTCGGGTAGGCAGCGCGCAATGCGAACCTCATCGGCGGCAGAACTCCAGATTTTTTGGGTCTGGGCCAGCCTGGGGACCCGACGGCGGAGTAGCCCAGGTAGGACCCCAACTCCAGAGCGCGAGCAGGCCTCCTGGCCCGCACAGCGGCATCGAGATGCTCCCCCTTCCGTTCGCCCACGTGCAGCAGTGGGCGGCCTCGGTGACTGACGACTTCTCACGAGCATCTCCCTAAACCGACCTGCCTGGGCTACAGAAGTCAACCGCAGAAGAGCAGATGCAGGAGCCCCTATACCTATATACTTTATGCATCACCACACTTTCCACTTTGCGGCATCCTTCGGGTTCGATCGCTCTGATCTCGCGGACGAATTTTGGGACATGCAACTAAAAACTCTGCGAGTAAGCTGGTTTCTCGACTCACAATGTATCTCAGCCGGGCAACAGTGCAGGTGAAAATCTTCAAACGCCTGCCAGATTTGCGCGTTACAGCAGAAATGAAGTGCCTGTGGTACTACTATCAAAACCGTGCCTTCAGCAGCCCCTCAGCATCTCCCTTCCTCGCGGAAGCGAGGACATGCTCGGAGGCCATCCGCTCGCGAGAAGCAAGTGAGACCGGCTCCAGCCTGCCCAGGGATCTCATTCTCAGGGATGCCTCGGAAACTCCCAGATTGCAACCTTCTCGCAACCTCCGCTCCCCAAGAACCAATAGACATGGAGAGGTACTGGATGTCTCCAGCCTTGCCTCCTGGGCTCGGTCGGCTCGCTCGGCTGGGAGAAGCCGAAGACGTGGGGCGCGAGAGGAGAAAGAGGCAAGCCGGCGCAGAGCCGCTGCACGGCCGCCGCGCGCGCCCACGCGCGCTCCGGGCTCATCTCGCCTCCGCCAGAGCATCCACAGCCGCTCTGCATTGTGCACAAACTCACCCCAGAAAGAGGCTCTCTGGATGAAGAACAGGCGCTCGCTGAAAACTAACTAGAGCAGCAGGCTCTCCACGGAGCTGCTTCAAAAGGTCAACGCTCGATCATGATGCATACAGAATTGAAGCCAGGTCATGCCGTCTCCTGTCTCTCAACAAGATCACTAAACCGCCCAGCTCCGCATGGATCTGAAGTCTGCCTGCTCGAAATCCAGTGATGAACTGGGCCATCCTGAAGTTATTGGATCGGTTGGCACAGCTGCCATGTACGACCAGCTGATTCCACAAAAGGAAGCTGCCCGCGCGCATGGGTATCCGCCTTGTGCACAGGGACGGATGCACATGGCCCCAGCAACACTTGTGCCACTTATGCATGCTCATGACCACTGCCTGGACAGGGCATGGATGGGATCTAGATTGGAGAACTTGAAGCTTCCCCCACCAGCTGCACGTCGAAGGACCCAGTTGTCATGCTGGCCGCTTTGAGAAAGGTTGTCCTCCATGGCTCCTGCTTAAGGCAGCCACAGAAAGCCACAACGTAGGGGTCTTCACGATTAGAGCGGGGCTTAGCCTCACATGATACTGTAGCTATAGTTACATTAGGGCCCTGCCATGGGGAGGCTCGACCCGGCCTAGACTCTGCAACCACTGCATGAAGCTGTGCTGGAAGCCGGGCACCACACGAGTCCCGCCATCCTCAGATGCAAAATCGGCTGAGATCGGATGGAAGTCACCGACTCCGCACACAGCAAAGAGAGCTGCAGGCCTCCTCGAGATTGTCGAGGAGATTCAGGACCCCCTGCACATGCTCGCCTGTGGGACCTCCACGGCCTTGAACGGCCGTGAGCTCTGCTCGGAAGTCCTGCGCTCAGTCACAGCAAACCTATCCGAGCACTGGTAATCACTTGTTGTAACAGATTATATAACAGAAATGGGCCTTGGCTTCAGGAATAGAACTGGAGTCTCACGGCTTTCGAACTGGGAATGATAGCAGCAAGGCAGTGGGTGTCCTGCAATGGAAAGCGATGGTCACTGAACTCTTCAGAGCCGTACCTTGAAATCAAGATTGGGAAGGAAGGGTCCATGTGGAAAAGGCTGCTGTTTCTACCACAGTGAACCTGGAAAAGCCGCGCCTGAGTGTCTCGATCTCAGTCGCTCTCAAGCCAGCATATGTCCAAGGATTGACATCCAGATGAAGGTTTTCGGCAGTTCTCCATCCTTCATCCCTGGCTGCTGGGCGATAGATACACCACCTGAAGCTGCAGCGCAGATGGGAGTAAGCAAAAACGTGAGTTCGGCTCCGAATTTCACTGCCGCGAAGCCTGTCTTGTGTTACCACCACGCTGTCGGGGTCCGGATGTGGGCTATCGAAGTCCTTGAATGCTCAAGATGTAAGTACAGTGCTATGGAAGAAAGAAAACGGAAGCGGCACCAAACCAATCTCCCTCCCCCCTGGCCCTTGGTGTCCTCCAGGCTTCCGATGCGCGGTAGGACAGCATCCAACGCGGCGTAGACTCGAGAATTCTGCCGATTTGCCACCATCTGCGGAGTGAAAACCGCCTGCAGGCTGGCGGTCACAGGAAACGAAACTGCCACAGTCGAAGACGAGACGTCTGGCCCCCGTCAGCAGAAGCTTGTTACGACGGCGACTGCTACTTGCATAGGCGGATACTGCAGTCACCAAAGTTACTAGAGCAAGGATGCCGTGGCGTGTCGAACGAGCCGCTTGGTCGAGCTCTAAGTCTGACCACTCCGGCATTCAAACCTGAGTTCCCGAACCTGCACAGATGCTACTTCCACCTGCTGCTGCTACCGCCTCCTACTGCCACTCCCAACTCTGCTGCTACCACCACTCCCTACTCCTCCTCCTCCGCCTGCTTGCTGCTGTTGCTGCTGCTACTGCTACTGCTACTGCTGCTGCTGCTACTGAGGCTGCTGCTACTGCTACTGCGACCGCCAACGCTACCGCTGCTGCTACTGCTACTGCTGCTGCCGCGGCTACTGCTACTGCGACCGCTAACGCTACCGCTGCTGCTACTGCTACTGCTGCTGCTGCTACTGCTACCGCGACGGCTAACGCTAACGCTATCGCTACCGCTGCTGCTACTGCTACTGCTACTACTACTGCTGCTGCTGCTGCTACTGCTGCTGCTGCTACTACTGCTACTACTTCTTCTACTGCTACTACTGCTAATAATGCTTTACTACTCCTCCACGATCCCTATTGGTTTGATCCCGTCTACCGATGTTGCAGGGACCAGCGTGCTGCCACAACCACAATCGTGATTCCGCACGCCGACGCCTGCTCTTCAGGCAGCCCATAGCGCTCTGATGACAACAAAGACCAGGTCTCTGGCCCTTCGCGCTCGAGGCCTGCAACTGGTAAACGGCACCCCAATCCTGAACACTACTGAGCTCGTTCGTCTTGGCCATAACTATCAGTATCGTGTTGTTACGAGTGTTCTCACAACCGAAATGCTCGGCAGTGATGAGGGTGTTCAGTGTTGTTTGCCTGACAGACTTGTGAGGTTGGGCGCGTGAGTACTGATGCTTGTGATGATGACGACGACGATGATGATAACGGTGATGTTGATGATGACAATAGCTATCATTCGACCGAATGATAGCTACCATAACAATGGCGACCACAATGATGACGACGAGGACTTGACGGTGGAACTTCATCCATCATTTCCTGTCATGACTATCGCAATCGCGATCATAGTTCTGCCGCTTTGGAAACAACATCATGGTCGCTGCGTCGCTGTCACCGCCCTGCCTGCAGCGGTCGCCATCCGCGTCATTGTCGCAATAGCAGCAGCAACAGCACCACGACCGCCACCAGCAGCAGTTTGGTCGTAGTGGTGGTGGTAGTGGTAGTGGTAGTGTGGCAGCGGTAGCAGTAGTCGTCGTCGTCCTAGTAATGAGTAACCATCAGCATCGTCGTCGTCGTCGACATCATCATCATCAAACACAATTATCAAAATCATTGTAAGACCAGCAGCTCATGCACGGAAATCATGAATCAGAACCATCATCATCATGATGCGTGTGGAACGGCAGTAGCAGCAGTAGTATCGGCGGAGGTGGACATCATCACCATCAACAATCTTGACCTATGTCTGCAGTGTTCTGGGATTGACCACTCTTTCCTGCTCCTGGTGATGTATACTGGCAGGGTTTCTGTTGGGCGTCAAGCGGTCGTGGGTTTTTGGTTAACTGTATACTGTATACTCATACCGCAAGCTCAAAAGCCGGGGCTTCAGGAATCCCTCGAGCCGTTGAGCCTGGAGTGCGCTCCTCCAGAGATGTCCAGATTTCGGACACAGTAGCTGCACCTCGTTTGAAGAGTGGTGGCTTCGACAGCTTGTAAAGGGTATCGGAATACGCAATGATACACACGTGAAGCTGGGCTTCTCGCACTCAGCTGGCTCGAGGACATCACGGAAAACCACGAAGCCGTACTGCTCAAAGAACTCTTTGGCTCCTTGACCATCGTCGGTTGTGTAGCTCTTGACCTCGGCTTCTGTTGCCGAAAGTGCTGCAAGAACTGGTACATGGACATCAAATCCGAGCATCCCACGTACCTTTGGTCCTCAGGGCAGCGGGGGAGAGCCGTCGGCTCCGGATAGCTCAGCCACTCGGGCCTCCTGGGCAAGGACAATGACGACCTGTCCTCTCCCTAAGTACCATCGATCAGTAAGTTTATTGCTATTGCTATGACCGCTGGCTACTATTACGATCGGCCATTTACCTTCTACTACGTACTACCCAGTACTATTGTGATAGATATTCTTGCAGTAGCACTGCTACTAGTAGCCTTGATAGTAGAAGTATAAGCAAAAGTAGCACTGGTAGTACGAGTAATACTAGTAGTGCTAGTAGTACAAGTAATACTAGGAGCACTAGCTCTACCAGTAGTAGTAGGAGAAGTCGTCGTCGTCGTGGTAGTTGTAGTGGTAGCAGTGGTAGCAGTGGTAGCAATGGTAGCAGTGGTAGCAGTAGTAGCACAGTGGTAGCAGTGGTAGCAGTGGTAGCAGCAGTGGTAGTCGTAGCGGTGGTGGTGAGAGGAGGAGCAGCAGCAGGAGCAGGAGCCGGAGCAGGAGCCGGACAAGTGGGAGTAGGAGTAGTAGTAGTAGTAGTAGTAGTAGTAGTAGTAGTAGTAGTAGTAGTAGTAGTAGTAGTAGTAGTAGTAGTACTAGTACTAGTAGGCCTCCCCTTCCACCGGCTTCACAGTTCACCCGAAGCAAAACGAAAAGCGGCTTGTTTTTGGACCGAATCGAACCGAACCAAACGAGCATCCCGCGGCGAGTGAACTCCTCATTCTCGAACCCATAGATGTGAATACCCACCAGCAAACAGCATCTTTCATGGTATATTGGCATTGCTACTGGCTGAAAAAATACTCCCCTTCTTTCTCTGGGCTTTCTTCCAAGGATCCGCGTTTTCTCGGCCGGCTTCCGCTTGGCAGCTCGCAAGGCCTTCAGGGTCACGTGTCAGATCCTGGCCCTCGTTGGGTCGGATCATGATGGATTCGGATAGCAAGTCCGAACACGTCGTTGGCAGTAGAACAGAGAATCTGATAAAGAAAGGGCAGCCCAGAAAACCTGCATAGATATGTCATCAACCGGTCAGACACAAAGGAAACGGCACGCGGTCGAGTGGTTTGGTCTTACAGCCGGCTTTGGCATCTAGACCAGACAAGAGGGCTTGAATGCCATGCACATCTTCAGATTTGTCCTTGCCTGCTCCTCAAAACAAGAGGGACTAGATGCTTGTACCATCTTTACCATACAACGAATGTCGTCGATAAAGAAGTGGGCATGAGGCGAGATCAGCAGGGCAGGACAGTGCGGATGATGAGAGACATTGAGTATGTTGTCCGTCCCGTGGTAAGACACAAAGAGTTTGCTGTATGACCGGGCAACTGGGTCAGAGTTAGATGATGGAAGCTGTGTTATTGCCAAGGGAGAGGGGTAGAGTGCATGGTCTGCTCTCCCCTCCGTGAGACCTTGGAGAGGGCGGCCAGGCGCTGACCTCGTTCCTTGCGCTGCTCAGCGGTCCCTGCCGCCTGGACGTCGGCCAGAGCAGCATTGTACAAATCCTTCACGAGACCCAGTTCTTCATGGGCCAGTCATGACTCGGGACTTCAACGGCCAGAGCGGCCTCTACCTCCGAGACGGACAGGTGCTGGGTGTCGGGGATGCCGGGGTCAGAGGCCATCTTGATCGCACTCGTCGTTCATGGCTCGCAAAAGTCTCTCGCACAAGTACACGCGCTTTAGATGCGACCTGCGAGATTGAGATCGCTTATGCTACGGTCTGTGGGCTGCAGTTTGCATTGCAGACTATGTTGCAAGATGCTCGGGCTGCAGCGAAGACCCAACATGTCTGAAGGCATCTTCGCAAAGTTGGACAAGAAGTTTCGAGCAGGATGCACGCGGGCTGCCATGTTTTGCCAGCACGTGACCGTCAGTGCGCAGGCAATGCTATGCATAGCTTGCGATCTGGCAGTACTAGCAACTAGTAGCTATCAAAGGCTCTATCTTAGGTGTCCTACCGGGGTGTCAGAACAACAGTTGTGAGGTCACGCAGCTTCTTGGTGGGCGTTGGGCTGAACTTTGGCCCACTGTGCCGTCCACGGATCTGCTCCTCCTCCAAAGTCCCAATAAACCTTAGACATCGGACTGCATGTCACTCTAGGCAGCCAGCCGAGCAGCTGAAAGGCAGCATGTTCAAACAAGAGGCATGCTCGAGGCTCTTAAGCTGCTGGTATAGGATGCGCCATCTCGCCATCTGCCTCTTCGATCCAACCTCGAAGCCTGTTCTGTGGAAGGGCGCGAGGTTTGTCGACGTCTGGGTCTGGGGAGGGGAGCGGTACAGCCGGCCAGGGCTAGATGCCCTGCAGAGCAGCCGTAGCGGCCCTTGCCGTTGCCATGTGATTGCCAGAAGTTTGGCCCCGCCAGTAGCTGCTTGGACTCCAGCTTTGCCGGAGCTTTGGCCCTCCACTGCTCCAGGGCACAAGGCCGTGCAGAGGGAACTGACCAGCCCGGGCGGGAGTCCGCATCCGCACTCTTGGTCTTGTTCCAGAGCTCCACGGGATCCAGCGGCATACTGCGACTTTCGAGGTCCGTTGGGATCGATCGAGACGTTGACTTGAACACCCAATGGCAGGCACCAACGCAGTCCTGGCCGTCGCGGCTGATGCTCTTCACCTCCAAGTCCCATTTCCTAGACCGCGAGCGAGACACCTCGAAAGTCTTAGGAGGCACCATGGCACACAAGGCTCCAGACACGCTTCTCAGCACTTATGGCGACAAATCTGATTCCAGCAACCTAGCAACCTGTCCTAACGTGCCAGAACGAGCAGATGCTCAATTGCAACGGTCCGGCTTGATGCATGCACCTAGGTGTCTCCCTTGTGTCCTGTTTTGTTCGAGGACTGAAGCATGTGCCGGTGCCTTCCCCTTGATGTTTGCATGCTCGCAGACTCAAGACGAGATGGCTTCTCTCAGGAAGTCGCACGGCAACAACGAGCGATTGCGGAGACTGCGAATAACTCAGCTCGCATGAGACAGAATATGTCGTATGCATTTTCACACAACCAATTCGGCAGTGTGGGGCACGCCCAACCACAGCCGGAGCATGGTCAGCACGCGTTGCCTTCCATAGTACCACGGCCATGCGGATGACAAACTGGCACGCGAAGGGCACTGAACTTGGACCAGGCCTGGCAGCGCGAACTGCCGGAACATCGTCCACGTGGCTGCCAGCCAAGTCGTAGATGTGGGCCCCTCCGGGGATCTGCAGCGAGACCAGCGTGCTGGAAAGAGACTGCATCCTGACACGGAGTGCGCCCTCATGCAGATGTTACACTGCTACACAGCAGCGAGAAGTTCAGGCTGGTACACGCCACCGCCACGCCATGGATCCAGCAGGCCATTGGTGAAAATGATGCGGCTGCTATTGTTCACAGATGACCTTCTCGCATCGGACTAGAAGCTGCGGAAGAACGATGGCCGTGAATTCACTGCTTCACATGCTACTTGTACTAGCCCCTGTGGGGCAGAGAGAGGATGCCAATTCTGCCCAGGTCACAACCAGGGCAAGAACCAGTTGGAGAGCGGTTCTATCCGCCAGGTATCCCTGCAGTACTGGGAGAGTTCTCTGAGGCCCCAAGCTCTTCCTGGGAACATGTCCGTCACGTTGTTGGTCGATGTAAAATACACGATCTGCCTGCACGCTTCGATGTCCCACGAGCGGCCCCATGCGGCATCGGCAGTTCCACAACCGGTCTGATCAGCGCAGTCGCGGTACTCTCGACTGATGTTGTGGCAGCGCGCCTTCCCTGGCAGGTCCGTGTCAGACAGCTCAGAGAAACATCGTCTTGCACTTCACTATATATAAGGCCTGTAGCGTTGTAGTAGGAGCCCACAGCAGCCGCAAGGGACTCCAGCGGCTTTTCGTGAGAGCCATGCAGCTCTCTGCAGGCTGCACGCAGTGGCCAAGCCTTCAGGCCTTTGCCGAAAAGATCTCCTGCGTAGGGATAGTTGCCCATGGCCACCTGCCGCTCCAGAGACTTGTGGGATACAGCCACCGAGCTCACATACTACGAGCGTCGCGCGAGTCAAGGAGCCCGTTCAGTCGAATCTTGTACAACTGTTAGCCTACTTTGCCGCCAGCATGTTAGACTGCAACAGCAGCTGAGGGCGTCTTCCGTGCACGATGCATCCGAGTGTCAGTGACGAATGCATTCCGCGCCCATAACACCAGCTCGTTGACGTCCAACGGTGGGCTGCAGAGCCCAAAAGCATGCTGCAGTGAACTCGCACTCCTTGGCTGGAGGGCTTCCGGCTTGTCATGTGAGAAAGCCTCCCACCAGTGCAGACCGCGCAAGAGGCCAGAAGCTGCTAGCTGCGAGAAACAGAACTTTCCCTCTGCGCAGGAATCTGCGTTAGGTGCGGTGATCCATGCATGCAGAGAAAGTTCATTCAGTGACAACATGCAACTAGGGGTGTAGCTGAGCGACGCTGCCTCGAGTGCGGCGAAACCCATCCGCGCCCTGTCAGCACAGCCGGGGTCCATCTCCTGCGGACAAAAGCTCTTTCACTCATGACTGTTGGAGCCTCTCAGCCGCCACATCGTTACCACAATCGGTCTGAGAACTCATGACGAGTGTGAACATGGTTCAACCATGACGGAACCCAAGCATTGCTCCACAGTGAAACAACAAATCCTACGCATGCACAGATAAGCCTGACGAAAGGGATTGCCTCTTGTGACTTTGTATGGAGCAGTGACCTCCGCGGCATCCGTCACGAGTCCAAAGAAGGATGGGCCAACTCGGTCAAAGTGTAAAGGTGCGGAGGACGATACCTTACCGAGCTTCGAACCCGAAAGCGAGTGATGCTCGTGGTCACGACTCAGCCAAGTGGCAGCAGCGAACACGAGCGATGGATATCTGTGCCAGGGGCAAACAGGACAGGACATCATCATTACAGAATCGAAAGCAATCGAGGCATAGTTAAGTCAAAGGCACTTTGCTCTCATCCAGCTGCTCAGCATACCACCATAAGAGCCACCGAAGGCAACGACTTTGCGCTGTCTGGAGGCGGTCAGAAACCTCGGCGACGCTCCCGAAGCTATCCCTGTTGCAAAGCCTCGACTTGACTAGTTCAAGATCCGTGCCACACGCAATGCACCTTCCATGTTCGTTGTATGCAGGATAGGGGACGTGATGAGACGGGCGTAGTCTGCCAAGGCTTGCTCAACCGTTAGGAACCGGATGTGATCCAGGCTGAAGTCCTCAATTTTCCGAGAGGCTTCGCCAAAACACATCTCATGCTCTGCTTGCACTACAGAAGGGCCTGGGTTTAGGAAGTTTAGGGGTTCAGGATTTGGGCTTCAGGGTTGAGGACTCTCCCGGCTTCCTGTGCTAAAGAGCTGGAGAGCGGCGGGGCCAAAGGGCAAGCTCTGGCCGTAGAAGCGGTGCTCTGCGAAAACCACCTCACCCTGCAGATCAGCCTGGGCTTCTTCGAACGTCCTCTCCGAACCAACAATGCCCAACACGCCGCGTGTGCAATCCTGCGAACATCTGCAAGTGATAGCCAGGAGACTGCAGCCTCGTTTAGGAACTTGCTAAAGTTCGCGAAGGCCTGCCGCAGCTTTGCATTATTAAGAAACTTCTGTGAGCCGATCGAAATGAGATGTGTGCCTACGTACCTCCACATCACCCTCGTTGCCGCAGAAAAACAGCAAAGGCCCACCATTGTCGGCCTACCACATCGCAAGCGACGCGTGTTTTCTTCTGTACAAAATCATGCCCCTTTCTCTGGTAACTTTCATGAGTGGCCTTCGAGTCGACTAAGTATCGCCTGGAAGGTGAAAGCAGAAATTCGGAAATGACGTACACTAACGAGTATCTAGTGACAGGCCATGCTTTCCAGCACTGTTGATGTCTGCTCTCTCATGTCAACCAGGCTGCTGCGCAAACGAACCGGAGGCAGGACCTTGCTTGTTGTTTCTGCATATTTCAAAGCGGGTGTGCGTGAGAGAGCTTGTCACCAGCCCAAATGTTGGCAGCATGGCATATGTTACGAGGAAGTTCCATGAGCGTATGTGGGATCTTGCACTTCTCATATGATCTCATGAGGCTTCTTCAACCGGTACTAGTAGGTGCCTGCCGAGCCTTGGCTCAAAGCCTAGGTGTCGAGTGGCGAGCTGTGTCAGCTGCCTCTATAGTTTCGACGCACCTCTGATTGCTGCCAGCTCCCATTCAAGCTTTGAGCACTAAGCCCCAACGTACAAAAGGTGACGTATAGACGGTGGGGGGGTTGATGAAGGGCCTGAAGCTTGCAGCTGGGACCTTCAATCCAGCATGACTTGGACCAGAGGCTTCGTTCATGTACTCTTCGCCACCAAGGCGCTGTTGTGGTCAATAGGCTGCTGCAGCCACCTCGTCTCCAGCCCGACGACGGCACCCAGCAACCATGAAGCTTGAAAGACACGGTCGACGAGCATGTGCTCTGTGTCTTGAAGGCACAGACTATGATATTCACGCAGATGTGCAGCCACGCGTTCAGCCGTTCAGCTAGTGTTATCGCACTCGACCATCGGCTTGTCCGGAGAATTCACGCTGTTGCCAGCTCTTGAGCCCTAGAAGCTACTTTAACACTGCAGTGTACAGACTTCTGGTCTGGCTTACTCACAGTCAGAGCTTTGTGGGTGTTGTGGGCAGCTGCATCGCTCTCTTTTCTCCTCAAGAAGTCTCAAGGCAAAGGAAAAAGGGCCCACTGGCCTGCATCTAAAGCAATCGAACCAAGAAACAGGCATGAGATCGGTGCTTGCTTGCTCAGCTGCTCATGCTTCCCTGCCATGACCATCACAACGGCCCATAAGTACTCCTAAGCCCTTCAACCTGACTTGAAGCAGCGACAATGGAAGGCTGCGGCGGCTCTCCTTTGGCCGGCGCATGCCACTTGGAACCACACCGATCCCGCCAACTCACGTTAACTCAGACGCTCATGCCGTCCCTGACGCGGACGAGGTTCAAACGCCTCCAGCACTTAAACAGATGCAGGCAATCGCAGCTACGTCACCATGCGAAACAGGCAGATGAAAAAGCCTGGAGACAACATCGGGAGATGGAATTGCTATCACAGGAGCATACGGAGATACTGACATATCCTGACCACACTCTGACCATGCCTCCAGTTCAGGTTCTCTCGGCGCACGGCGTCGGCACCTCCGCCGCGCGCTGCGACAGTAGCCAGGGACCATGCGGCCTGAGCTCGCTAAAGGCTGTTGACCGAGACCCCGTGCAGCTATCCCGGGTTCACGGGCCTGGGAGTTCGGCGTCTTCCACACTTCAGCCTGGGTGTATAGACAACACAGATCTTCTCTCCAACATGCGAACTGACTGACGAGAATCTCATGACTCACCATGGTCTCTGTTCTTGAGCAATCGAGGAGCTGGTATGGTGTCCTTCTGCTTCGTGGCAGCACCTGATGCCGCAAGCAAGATTGCTTCCGACGCGGGCTGCCAGCCAAAAGCCAAAAGGTAAAAAAAGAAAGAGGTGACATGGCAAGAAGAGCTGGAGAGCTCATACACCAACACACGCAGATGCTGACATGTGCCCTGAACCCCAGCCCCCCACGGCTTCAGACCCTGACATCTGGATGGCCACCTGCAATCATCCCCACCCAGACACGAACCCTCTAAACCAGATGCCCTAAACCGAAGACCCAAAAATAGAAAACCTGTCACCCTATAAACTCTATCGTATCATACTCCGTTACATCATCTTCCATTATGCTCTACCACCTTTCGCGACGTCCCCGAGGTCGGGGCGCCTGAGGCTCTCAGGTACTGCAGGGTCCCCAGGAGCAGCACCAGGGCTCCGCCCCAGAAGCCCGAGGGGGGCCATGGTGGGACCCTCACCAAGGCAGCCACCAGCCTTCAAAAAGGCCGGGGGGGTACTTGTAGAGTCTTACAGTCGTATTATAGTATTATTATAGAAAAAAATAGTCGTATTATAGTATTACTATAGTATTATAATAGTCGTATTATAGTATTATGATAGTATGATTATAGTATTAATTATAGTATTAGACTTTGAGGGTTCAGGGTTTAGGGTTTATGCATGCGGTCTCTCGCTAGGGGTTAGGGTTTAGGGTTTAGGGCTTAGAGGTTGAGGGTTTGGGGTTTTCTGGTTTGGGGTTTGAGGATTTAGGATTTAAGGACCCTGAAGCCTAAGGCCCTGAACCCTACCGCCCTACCGTCAAGGCAACAAATCGTACTATAACCATAGCACACGACACGAACATATGCTACAATACATTAGAAATATACTATATCATATAGTGCAAAGAACATATTATTAGAGAGAGAGGGAGAAAGAGACAGAGATCTTATATCTGTATCTGTGTATGCACATAGTAGGCGCGATGCGGAGGAGCGGCAGTTGACCGAATCCGTCCAGGGTCTGAGCAAGCTGCAGCACCTCACGAACACCATATGAGCGCTCATATCATACACGTATGTAAAGGCCGCTCGCTCCACACTTGAATGGCCACAAACATGCAAGCACATTGCCGTCCGTGTTGCCAGAAGGTTCGGAGCACGGCCAGCCAGCTTTGTTCCCAAATTCCGGGAAGCGAAGTTGAGGCAGACACCTGGCCATTAATTCATTAATTGCCGGCAAAGAGTGGAAACGTCTTGGAGAGACCACATCCAGCCTGATGTCACCAGCACCAGCAGGGACGGATCGCGCTGTTGGAACCTGAGAAGTGGTCGGCAAAAAAGAGCCAGGCCCTGCACTCGCAATGGAATGTAGCTGCAAGGTCATCAGAAAGCCGACGGAGGAGCCATTCAAGCAAGCGCGGGCCCACCAAGTGCCACTGGCTTGGGAACACAACGATCAGTGCACCTGACCCGGCACGCAAAGATGACGGCACACTCAGGCCAAGATCATTTGCAGCTCCAGTCCGGGGCACAGAGGTGTGTAAAGAAGACCTGCTCCTCCACGTGCTCACCATAGCGGGAGAATGCCATCTTGATGGAGCAGCCCTGCCAGCGATCCCCCTCCCCATGTGGGACAATCCAATCCAAGCAGCGGCAATCTGCTGGGTGTCTGCAGCATGAAGAAGTTACCTTCCTCTGCTACTCTTCGAAGAAAGCGGATCCGGATCTCAAGGCTCTGAAGGTGCCCTATGCTCTCGAAGCAAAACTCCTGCAACAACAGAAACATAGAATGACAATAGAACGGAAGCACGAACAGGAGGGTCGATAAGACCGGCGGGTAGCTAGACAAAAACAACAACAGCAGCGAAGGAATACCACCAGTCACGAGCAAAAACAAATGCAGCACTACCAACACCAACAACGCCAGCATCTAAACAACTCTAGCAAGAAGCCCAAACTACTACGCGTCGGTTTCCATTAATTAGCCATAACCAGCCATGATCAACAACAGAAACCAAAAGCAACACCAATCCTTGCCGAATGAAACTGTCAAAAAGCACGACAGACCAACAAACACCACAAGCAATAACCAACACCGGCGGTGCCGCAGCAGCAACGGTCATACGGCAGTGTTATGAGTGATCCTGACAGTCGGATGCCGGTAGTGTAGACCTGTCAGCTTAGGGCCATTTCGGGCCTGCAAAGCAAGCGCGGTGGTGGAGACCAGGCACTCGAGACAACCTCAACTGGCCGTGGCAGTTTTTTCCGTGCCTACGTTGCAATGCAGCATGTATGATGCACCACGTATGACGGACATTGACATTGACGGACTCATCTCGTCGCACGAATGTGAACCTGCAGATCAGATCCCGACCTAGTGTCATCAAAAGATGTTATATGGGGTAGCTAATTTTGGAGTCCTTATGATAAGGATCCTACTATTTAGGGTACTATATTGGGGTCCTCTATTGTCGGAAACTCCCATATGTATTAGAGGCTATCCGTTAACCGAGCACGGCAAAGTCTGGAAACAAGCCTTCGCTGGTACGAGCAGTGACACAGCCATGCTCAGCCAAGGGCCCTTAACATCTCTGAACCAAACCTCTAAGACCAAGTGGCCAATAAAGAAGTCGTGGTTAGCAACGCCAGAGCCAGAATTCTTGGACGCAGCGGCATGCTGCATGGCATCCCCCGCCCAAGCAATTCCTTGACAAGGTCATCGTGGGTCCTATGGTAACCTCCTGCTGCCATGGATGCCTGTTACAGAACCTTTGTTTAGGATCGCCGTCATGTACACACTGTCCGGGTGGTCTTGAAATCGTAAGTTGTCATCTGAACACTGCGATCTGCATGTATGCCTTTATCGTATGCGAGATTACAGCAAACACAGTTTCTGTAGTTTGCAATACCAGTGCAGTGTCATATGGCCAACCATGAAACCCGTTTAGGTCAAAATATTGTACCGGTGCAGTGGTGTCCAAACTCAAAACAATGAAAGTGCGATGCTGGTGTGCGACAGGCTGTCAACAAAATTCGAAATCTGACAAGGGCACGAGAGCCGGCTGCATCAAAGGCAAGCTTGCATTGACAAGGAAAGCAACAAGCTGCATCGACAGCCACGACACGACAAACAACACAGCAAAAAAGTTACCAACTGACACAAACCACTCATTTTGCCACCAACACCTCCAGAGTCAATTACCATCAACACGGCAAGCACCTTCAAGAAGCAGTAAAGGCAGCAGTGACTACGGCGGTGGCGCACCGCCGTGGTCACAATCATAACACATCAAAAAGAGAGCATCACCCATCCCAAAAACTTGGAAGTGAATAAATGAAAACAAACGACACAGACTCATGCAAACACATAGGCCAGAGAATGACACAACAATGAAAGATGCCAAACTCACAAGTAACGATGACAACAACATCAACAAAGCTGAAGTCGAAGCAAAAGCAGCCGCAGTAGGACTGCAGCGAAACGGCAGAAACCATGGAAGCACAAATAACAGGAAAACGAACGAAACGACACGAAACGAAACGCAAAACAAAAAACAGCTATGAGAGCAGCTGCCGCAACAGCCGCAGACAGGTACGACCAGACCACCAAGAAAGCAAGCCCACACACATGCGCCACTTGCACCACTAAACAAGTTTGACACACATAGCCAGGCTATGACCGTCGTTCAAGACATAAAGCCGGCAGCCAAACCACGCATCAGCAACGGAATCAGAAACAACGGCATAACAACGGCAACCGCTGTGAGAAGTACAGCATTGACAATGACAATCGCAGAACAGGGTTGGCAACATCAGCAACGGCAGCAGCAAAACATGCCCACGGATTGCGGTGAAAAAGAAAGTCCAGCTCGTGTCGAGTCTCCTACGGTCACGATCGCGGCTCCGAGCACCTGGGAGGAGGAGTAGCGCTTCCCGAATAGCAAGAACTGGATGACCAAGCCCACCATCCTCAGATTCAGATCTTGAGAATCGCTCCCTGACAGTTCCAGCACAGACGAGGTGGTCTTAAAAAAAAAGATGCTGCTCTTTTGCCAACTTACATCCGCAGGTTGGAGAGCAGGAAGCCTGAGTGCTCCGGGGAACTCAGGATTTGCATGTCTTGGCGTATTCGCAGAACCAGGGCATGGCAAGAAATGGAGAGGGCAAGCAGCAGACCGACGTGGGAAGCCGGGAGAAGGCATCGGACTTGAGCACCGTGAAGGAGCACCAGAGAAATGCCATCAAAGCGTGGAGTCTCAGAGGGATCTGCCTGCAGGGAGCAGCAAGACAGTGCAACAGGATCGAAGCACAAGAGTGCCAGCTGTGCTAGGGGATGGAAGGCACAGGTTTCGGCAACTAAAACTTGTGCAGACCACTAGAAAGTGAGGCCTCGCATGAGGCTTTAGGAGAGGCTGGCCTGTGCTGCAACAGCGAGGAGGCTCGCGGTATAAAGCGAGCAAGAATCACCTGCATCCGAGCCATGGTTCAGGGTCAGTTGACAAAGCCTCCAAGCGACCATGCCATGCAGTCGACTTAGACTAAACTAAACCTTGCCACGGTGCCACGTGCAGGATGAAGTTGAAGCACAGTGCGCTCTTCGGGTCGCGCTGGAGGAGCTTGCTGTAGGGCCACACGACGGACTTGGCCGGCAGCCCGTTGTGCTAGCGTGCCACCACTTGATTTGTATTTGTTAAGGCAAGCAACCGTCCCCACAATTATGTACGAGATGGCGACGGGCAGGAATGGTGGCGCATTCTCGTTCCTGAAGTGGAAAATCAAGGAGGCTCCCCTATCATCACGATGAATTTGCCCGCCCACATTGCCGCTGAGGCTTTGATGATTGATTGCTCTATTGTTACTTGTACTTGTCCACCTGCTTTTACTTCTGCCCCTACTCCACTACTCCCCGTGCTCCTGCCAACTATCACCACTACACCACGACAACGCCGACGACGACTGCTACACCATCTTACTGTACCGCACCGCACTGTACCGTACCGTCCAGTACAGTAAGGTATAGCAACAGAACTGCCTAAGAAACCTTTCGATTCAGACAACTCGGCACAAAGTTTAAACAACGCACCCTGACCTCGGGATGCCAATTTCATGTTGTCTCTTTTCGATCTGGCTTTTGGCTGCTGCCTATGCTCCAGGCATAACGAGTTCAGCAACTGAAAGCTGGATTCACGTTACGAAATGGTGGTGAGGATGACAACGATGAAGGTACCGCTGGTGGTGGCCATAGTGATGAAGATGTTGACGATGCCGTGCACATCTCATGCAACCCCCCCTTCATGCAGCCCGAGGGCTGCTCCCGCTGCAGAGCTCGTTCAAGCAGGCAAGGAAGCTTCTGCTGTTCCTGGGGCACCTCAGCGAATTTCGGGTCAAGATAACACAACAATCCCTAAAACCTGCCGTCCCTCTGATCCCTCTAGCAACAGGCAATGCACAGGAATGGATTGATCCCAATGTTGCCTAAGCTTGCCAACAAAATCAGCATGCTTGCTCGCGGTTCATCCCAGGGGCAGGAGCAAGATCCTCCAGGGTGGCCTGGATTTCAATTTCAACACCTGGATGGCAAGACTTCGGCACACGTACGTACAGCCATGCATACCGCATACCTACATCTGGTATGCTAGAGACGTTCGGCGTGCCTGCCCCGGCGGTTGAGAGCTCCCGAACCAAGCCAGCCTCTGATGCCTCTGAGATTCCAGGTCTACTACTCACTACTCCACTGTAGGCGCACATGGAGTGTAAGAGAACTGGGGATCTATAGATGAACTTACACACATCACGTTGAGCAAAGGCTCCTCAGAGAGAGAGAGAGAGAGAGAGAGAGAGAGAGAGAGAGAGAGAGAGAGAGAGAGAGAGAGAGAGAGAGAGAGAGAGAGAGAGAGAGAGAGAGGGGAGAGAGAGGGAGAGAGAGAGGGAGAGGGGGAGAGGGAGAGGGAGAGGGAGAGGGAGAGGGAGAGAGAGAGAGAGAGAGAGAAAGAGGGGGAGAGGGAGAGGGAGAGAGAGAGAGAGAGAGAGCGAGGGAAGGAGGGAGGGAGGGAGGCAGGGAGAGAGGGAGGGAGGGAGGACGGGACAGGGAGAGAGAGAGAGAGAGTGAGTGAGTGAATGTGAGTGAGCGAGCGAGTGAGTGAGTGGTGAGTGGAGGGAGAAGCACAAGGTGAACACACTCGCAGAATGAGCGACAGAGCGAACCTCAAATCCATAACAAAGATGGTTGGTGTGTTTGTGTTTGTGTGTGTGTGTGTGCCTGTGCCTGCGTGCCTGCGCGCATGTGCGTGTGTGAGAGAGAGAGAAGGAGAGTGCACGGCTGCAGGAATCTGCCGTATATATGTATGTACAAAGGCATGTATGTGCGTACGCAGTACGCATGCATGCAGGCATGCATGCATGCATGCATGTATGTGCATGTACGCACTTGTGTACACTTATTATGTATATGCACGAGCATGCGTGCATGTTCGCGCATGTGCAAGTACGCATGCATGTGTTTGCGAGTCAAACTCTACATGCATTTACGATTCGGATGTGTCGGCATGTTGGCATCTGATTTTGCATGATAGGTATGTACGTATGTAATGTAATGTATATGCCTGCATACACGCATGCAAGCATGCCTGTGCATGATGCTGCATGATGCATGGGTGTATGTACGTACACACACAATTACGTGCGTTTGTGTGTGATGGAAATAGCAGGGGGCAGAGGGTCTCATTTCACGGCCTCTGCCAATGAAGCTCCGTGATATTGAGACAGGTAAACGTACCTGCAGTGGTCGGCATGGGCACATCTGTGCAGCTTGTGACCACACAACTGTTGATTGCAAGTAGGAGTGCAGTGCAGTTTCATGTGCATGTCTGGGAGAGTTTGCCTTGTACAGTCAAAAAGTCAGAGATCAAGTGAAGATGAGCCTTGAGGCCAGACAGGTACCGGACCCCCTGAAAGCTTCATGCTTTCGAGATACATCAAGCGGTGCTTGATAACCAGATTGACTAGTGGCTGCGCGATGGATGTCTAAGTGTGTCCCAGGTAGTTACAAGCTGGTCTTGTATTCGTTTACCGCGCTACCTGCGACGGGGTCTGCCCGTGCGAGTACCTGCCAGAGTTGATTTGTTAAAGGCAGGGATAAGTGTTTTTGGGCCCGTCGTGGTCCTCACAGGTCCGACGGAATTTGCTGCTCTGATGGTGCCGACATCCGGTTACTTCAGTCGGGATGTTATCTTTGTTCCTGACTTCATGTCAGGTTTGATGCCAGGTTTCATTGCAGGTCGAGATTTTTGCAGATCCGATGGAACCAACGGCTTTTCTATCCGCAGACCACGATTTCAGCTCCGAGACACAAGCCCGTAGGAATCTCTTCCGATCATGTCTTGGACCCGTGAACAAGATTGGGCCAAATCGTCCTGGGCTAGTTCGTCTTGGGAAAAGAAAGGCTGGGAGTGCTATGACACGAATGCTATTTCGGGCAAGAGATTTTTTCGCAACATCCAATCCACACCCTGGTCTACCAAAGCTGGACTGGCTGGAAAAGATGTGGCAGATCTACGTGTTTCAGACCTGACGCGGAAAGGTCTCGATGACTTCAGTCTCCGATGTTTGTCCAACGGAGAATTTCAGAGCCTGGTGTTCGTGAGGTCGATTTCTGAAGCAGTTTTTGTGTCAAACTTGCTTCGTCACATCCGGCAAGACCGCATCGATCTTGATGCCGTGGCAGCAAATATGCACGGCCCGGCTCCGCCAGACAAGCATAAAGAGTCAGCCAGATTTATGCAACCATTGCTTGGCGAAATTGTTTCAACAATCAAAGCCAATTCGCCTCCTCCGGCGGACTCCAGCCAGCAATCGCCTGAGAGTGAACAGCTTGCTCGTGCGAAGCGCAAGCTGAAAGAAGCTGGAATTGCTCTTACTTCGGAGAAGAAGCAGGCAAAAACCAGCCCGCTTCCCACCACTTCACCCTCACCTTCAGCTGAGCAGATTTTGAAAGCGGAACTCAAGAATCCGCCGAACTCTGTTCCGAGTTCCAGCTCACCTGATGTCGTGGAGAAATGGCTCAAGAAGCATCAGAGCCAGTTTCGTGGTCAAGCTGCAGCTTTTAAGAAACATGTGGCTGATGTTTGCTCTGTGCTGAAAGATTCAGCCACTGATCGGCAAAGCGTGGCAGACCTTGCCGTCAAGTACGGCTTGAAGAAAAGCCATGCAAGCAAGATGTCCTTCACCAATTTGTCTTCATTCATTGGTGCATGTCAGTTTGAATCAGCTTGACTAGCTACCCAAGCAAAAACGGTGCAACACCAGCCGATTCAGGTCCGTAAGAGACTTGCGTCAGCAGTGTGCACGCTTGGCACAGCAACAGCCTTCATGTTGGAGTTTGGCGATGGAATACCCAAGGCTCCACTAATTTGGGTGCATACGCTGATGTCGTTGGTGTTGTTGTTTTATCTCAACGCACCCAGCCGGGAAGATTCGCACAGATCCAAACTCGTTCGGAAGTTGCAGCAGTTCGGAGTGGATCCAGATACTCTGCACTATTCTCTGTTTGAGAACCCGAACACTGTGTATTGCATTTTTCAAGTTGATTTCGACATGGGTCGATTTCGTTCGGGCTACCGTCAGCCCTCCTCACTTCTGTATGTGGGAAGCACTGCTGTCGGTGCAGCCAAGCGGCATTTGAACCGCATGGCAGTATACAGAAGACTTCAAAGAACTGAGTTTGTGGATGCTGAATTATCCCTGAGGTATTGGGCGTCCCATCTGAACCTCTTTCAGTTTGTACTTGTCCCGCTGGAATGCTATGAGAGCTACCAGCAAGCTTGGACCGTTGAGCACGAACTCATCGCTCAATGGCAGGCACCTTTGAATTATCCTAGAGCAATGTCTCTCATTAAGAAGACAGAAGACAGCTCTTGGTTTTCGGATTTCTTCCCAACGCCGAGCGTCATTGTATGGCACCTTCGGCCTCCGACTTTGGCGCAAACTGCGAAAGCGCATGTTTGGTCGCAGTTCGAAATTTATCATTCAAGATTCTCGGGAACTAGCCTGGGGGCTTCTGTTCAAGCTTGGATCAAGAACCCGAGCAGCCTTTGAAACAACTAAACTGCTCCGATCCAATAAGACGGCTGACGAGGAAGTGTATGCCCTCATCAAGCTCAGTCGCAACATTGAAAACCCTCATCGCAACAGGGTGCAAGGACTACTCAAAGGTGTAGTCAAATTTCGGAAAAAGATGCACTGGCCACGCACCTCCCGATCTTTGGGAGTCCGGCCAACGGCGTCTTCTTCGTTTTCCAAGGAGTGCGAGAAGTGGTTAAAAGACCTCATCCTGCGTTACAAGTATCTTTTTCCATCTTTTCATGTTCCAAAGAACAGCCTACGTGAAGTTCCGCACCAGAGTATCAGGAAATTTCTCCATAATTTCCGATCTTGGGAAGAAACGATGTGGGAACACGACTTCAAGTTGGAGTCGGTTCACTGTCCGTGTAATCAGTTTGCAGGAAAACTTCCTGCTCATTGCTTTGTGTCTGGCCATGTAGCCACGGGTTTGGAGAACCTGACCAAGCTACTGCCAGACTGCAAGAGCATCTTATCGGCCAGTGCCGCGAGCACCTTTTTCCCTGGCCGCAATCACTGGATGGCCAAGTCCAGAGCTCTGTTTGATCAGTGGCTCAAGAGACACAAGCTACCAGCGACGTTGCATCCGATTTTTCAATCTTTTTGCGATCACCAGTGGCAGCAACACGTTGCAGCCCTGGAACAATCCGACAGACTACACTGGGCTTTGGTACAGAAGGTGAAGTCTGTTTTGCATTCTGATTTTGTTCTGTACAACGAAGATCATCATCCGAATCATGTTGTATGCTATTGTCCTCGCTTCTTCCTTCGAGGAGTCAGCAACACATGGAACGATCCCGCAGTGTTTTGCACTCTTGATGGTACGCCAGAAGAGTGGCGACAGCGCATTTTGAAGCGCGTTCCGGGAGATCTGTCCAGAAGATATGCCTGGGCTTTCACAGAAGCCGCTCCATTGCCTCAGGGCACTGTGTTCCTGAAACGGAAAAAACAGTTTGCCAAGGGACGGACTATTATTTCGTATTCCAATTCTTTGTGCAGCAAACTGTTACAGCTGACTTCCATTGCGTTAACCTTAATGGTCAAGACGCTGTTTGCTGACAGCCCCGGCATGCAGAGCATGCCACAGCTATGGAAGTCTCTTCACGCTTACTGGGCGAAGCCCAGCCAGGAAGAAAACGTCGAATGGAACGACGATCTTGTGGGATTTTTCAACGCAGTTCCCCGAAAGGACATTATGCATTCAGTCCGTCTGATTGTCCAGGAATATTGCCAAATTTCTGGCTGCTCGATCCTTTCGATCGACATGTTGTCCAGAACGGGACACCCGGGCAAACCACGGGGAAGAACCCAATCCAGTCTGAAAAGGTGTTGGGTTTCAGATATTCCAAGGATTGTGGATCTATCCTTCGCCACGGGAGTTTTTACTGCTGCTGGAAAGTGTCGCCAGCAAGTGGAGGGGACGTGTATAGGCAATCAAGTCTCTCCGATCCTTTCCGGGCTCCCTGTACTCATGGCCGAGCGGCATTTTTTGCAATCTTTGCCAGCAGCCATCCAATCTTCTTTCTTATTTCTTCGTTACGTTGATAACAGACTGATTCTGGGACCTCAACAAATTTTACAGTCGTCCCAACTCCGGAGATTTTGTGATCCCAACTTTTATGATGGGATTCAGTTGGAAACTGTATCAGACCATCAATGGTTGGGCTTTACGATTTGTGCCAAGACTCGCTCAGCAACTTTTAATCTTCCGGAGCAACCGTGGCAGATCCGCTCACCCAACAGTGCCGGATCTTGGCAGCTAGCAGCCTCGGGATATTTTTCTCGAGCATCTTTGATTCGCCAGTATTCCTGGCCCCCCGAGTCGATACCGGGGCAGCTTCGCAGACTCAAGCAATTGTATGTACAGGCAGGTTTTCCTGCGAAGGCGTTGCAATGAAGTCAGCAAATGACACATTCGATTGAGTGTTTTGGTGCCTTTTTGCAAGGTTGTTGTTCCTACTTGTGCACGTGTGTTATCGAGTCCATACCACAGCTGCATTGGTTTCAGCTGTGTATCGGCCTGTCGAGGGAACAGTTCAACCCCGAGCCATGGCCCAACAATATCATTTTCACTTCTACGGAGGACCCCCTGGGGTGCTGCCTTCAAGCGGACCACAGGCCTCCTGTTACGATCCATACGACTCCGGATGAAGCAAGTAGAGCTCGATCGGTTTCGGTGCATCCGCCACCTCGAGCTCCTCTTCCGATTCAATTCGCACCGGGAGAGCCGACTAGGTCTGCTCATCCGAGCCGTGATCGTCGTGATCGCAGTCGTTCGAGACGACGACGGCGTCGACATCATCGGCATGAACGTCAACCTGAGGGACCTCCCGCGGCCCCGGTTCGACCTGTTCTACCTCCCAATCTGCCTCCAGTTCGACCACCAACAAGGTCTGCTAGTGCAGCTCCTCCGGTGCGTCCGCCTTTTCGTTCAGCCAGCTTTGACAACACGCCACCCCGGCCTAGACCCAGTTCTACTGAGCCGGACATTTTGCGACCTCCCGGGCAATGGTTGCCCAGTTTTTCTGCTGGCAATCCGAGCCAAAGGCCGGTAACACCCAGAGAGCGAGCTCCTGCTTCTCGCTCACACGCGGCCACTGATGCCTTGCATCGCGCTGCTGAAGCTTTTGGAACTTCCAGCAATGTACAAAGCAAACCGGATACAGGTCCGATTTCGAATAACAAGGAGCCCTCCGTGACAGCTCTCTCATCGGAGGCTCACAAGAACATTTCGCCCAAGACGCCTCCTAAGCACCCGGCTCCAAAGAGCCCAGTTCATCCTGCTCAGCCCGTTTCGATTTCGGTTGATGATGAGCAGTTATTTCAAGCAACTCATCGCAGCAGCTACGAACAACTGCGCGAGCAAATCACAGCTCGAGCCAAAGGCCGCAATGCTGTGGATTTCTACGAGGAAGGAATGAGCCCTCTCTTGGCGTATATGTTCTTTGTTGTGCATTATCATGAGAATTTTCTCACGACTGAAGGCCTACATACGTGGCCTATTATCCCGCATTCTCATATGCGACGATTTACGGATCGCATTACATTTACTCGGCAACGTTCACTGCCTGTTTCCAAGATCCTCAAAGAGGATGTCGAGGAAGTGCTGCGATTTTTGTTGACCCGGTTTGGCCAGGCCGATCGACCTTTTCTGCCTGTGATTCCCATTGGCCAACGGGAGGTTGTCACTCTTGCCCGGTCCATTTTGGCCAGCAAGATACCATACAAAACAATATTTCAGCATGATGCCAAGGCGTATGCCATGCCTCAGGAAGCGTTGCATGTTTGGGAGTTTCCAGTGGCACATATGCCAGGACCTGAAGAGCAGACCAACTGCTATTATCTTTGGGGACACGGGACCACAGCCGAAGGCCTGGTCGGCATCCTCACGCTGGGCAGAGTTATTCGCTCTAGCGCTGAAGCTGTACATGTTGCGCCGCACGATCATGTGTGCTCCTTTTATGGCAAGGCCACACAAAGCGTGCATTATGAAGAGAGCAAATTAGACTTCGTGTCGAAATTGCACCACTCCACGAAGAATTCCGCTGGAGTGGTCGTTGGAGGATATCTTGGATCTGCGCATCACAAATCCAAATCCTCCAGCACTGTGCATGAAGGACATTTGTGCAAATTCCACGCGCTAGTGCACTCCCCCTCGGGAGATAAGCGCTGGGCGGTGCGGGACGCCGCCGGACGCATTGACAAAATCTGGATTTTGTCAAGCACCCACTCCATTTCTTTGCCGATGTCCACCCCCAACAACCCCAGGCCCATTACTTTTGAAACGGGGGAAGGGCAGGATTGGGGAGTCAGCTGGCCTGGCTTGGAGTACTCTGTACGAAACACCAGAGCTTTGCCGGATTCCGATGTACAGAATGAGGCCTAAGCTTTCTGGAGTCTTTCATGCATGGAAAAAGACTGTTGCAATGCGGAACGCATATGCAGAAGGGCACGACCTTTTGACTTGAATCCTATACGTTTGCCCTGCAAGCAGTGTGAGCAAGTGCCTGTACAGTTTTTCTGCTCTCATGCATCAGTGACCTAGTGTACGTGTGGTGTTCTCCGCCATGAAACGAGATGCAGCACAAGCGTCACTCCCTCCTGATGGCGGTAAAGATGAAGATCCTCTTATTCTCCCTCGGACACCGAAACATCTGCCTCCGCTGCGGAAGACCCGAGGATTTTGGATTGAAAATTTGCCTTCTGATGGCCGCCATCATGGTGCCACGGTTGCATGTTTCGACATTCCGGCCGAAGGCATTATCGACGACCTTAAAGAGGCCATTAGTTTGGAGTGGAATCACCTCCCCAAGCGTACGTTTAAAATCACGCAAAGCGGGACTCATTTACCGTACTATGTCAAACTCAGTACTGTCAAATACAGTACCATTGACCTTTCACTGGGCTGAGCCGTATTCGGACGAAAACCGTCCTCGTTTGGATCACAGATCCTAGGTTGTTCGCCTTAGTGGCTTACTGTGTGTGTGGACCTCTGTTGCCAAGAGGAACCGTTTTTTGCAGCACTCTGGACAGTCGCGCTGAATTGATGGAAATAGCAGGGGGCAGAGGGTCTCATTTCACGGCCTCTGCCAATGAAGCTCCGTGATATTGAGACAGGTAAACGTACCTGCAGTGGTCGGCATGAGCACATCTGTGCAGCTTGTGACCACACAACTGTTGATTGCAAGTAGGAGTGCAGTGCAGTTTCATGTGCATGTCTGGGAGAGTTTGCCTTGTACAGTCAAAAAGTCAGAGATCAAGTGAAGATGAGCCTTGAGGCCAGACAGGTACCGGACCCCCTGAAAGCTTCATGCTTTCGAGATACATCAAGCGGTGCTTGATAACCAGATTGACTAGTGGCTGCGCGATGGATGTCTAAGTGTGTACACAAGTGAGCCTGCGTGCACACGTAAGCATTCGTGCATTGCTGTATGGTTGTAAGGATATATAAGCATGTAGCACCTATGTGTACGCATGTAACGGAAGCAACAAGAAGGCGCACACACGATTGCCCGATCGACCCATGGCCCCTGTACGCACGTGCAGGGTCATCGCATGCATGAATGAAGGCCGCCGACATTTATGCCTACAAGTTGGCTTCATAGATGTGTGCACGTGCGCATCTGCGTTCGTCTGCACACGCATAGGTATATTCGGGCGAAGTGTAGGCTTACCCCGCATGCTTGTATGCAGATCTCGCTTGCTTGCATGCTCGCTCCCTCTCTCTGTGCTTTGCTGCTCTCTCTGTCTGTCTGTGAGGCCTGCCGCCGGCGCCGCTGTTTCAGGCCTTGGAGGCCGATGCGGCGCCAAGCCAGGTTCTCGCGCCTAGGTTGAGACCCGAAGATGTTTAAGGTTGAGATGTCGGGATCGGATTCAGAGCTTTAGAGTTTGCGTTTAGGGCTCGGGTTGTGTGCTTCGAAGCCATCTAGCCGTTACAGGGCATCGTGCTTGTCATGACTCCGGGCATATGTCCAAGGGAGACAGCGCCCGTCTCTAAGGGCCGGGCCGAATGGCCTCCTCGTTGCCCTGCTTGGCCTCCAGGGTCGCCTCCGCCCAAACCTGAGCCATATCGGCGCTTCGAAGTCTTTGAGGGTGATGGAGGCCCCTCGGGACAGAAGTCCGTGCTTAAGGAACCCTGGTGGTGATGGTGCCTGCTTCAGAGCTGGCGACTCCATCTCCAGCATTTTTCCCAAAGCCGGGCTGCCTGGGGATGATTATCTTCAGGCAGCGAGATGCACACAGACAACAAATCACACAGAGACGACTCCCCCAAAGCCGGGCTGCTGCAATTCTCTTCTGCGTTTTCCACATTGCTGAGGTAAAGCAAGTTGCCTGGCAAATCTCGGGTACTTGCTCGCCAATGTGCGAAAACGGCTCCATGGATGATGCTTCAACTTAAGTTACCAATTAACAAAGTCCCAGTCGACCACACCGATCTCGGCAACGACAGCCGTCTTGGACGATCTTGTCATTATGGTGCAGCTGCAGTATGTTGCAGTATCTCAGACTCATGTTGGGTCGAGAGTCCAATTGCAACCGCCACCGCTGCCATCATGCACAGAGATGCATCTGGTGTAGATTCGCTGCACCAGAGAGCAACGAAGACTTGGCACATACCTGCCAGTCGCTTTACTTGCGATAGGGCCTACAAAACACACGAGTCACTGCAGGTTTTGTCCACTCCACGGACTACAGACTCTCCATCCTTGAATGGGCTTAAGCATCGAGTGCTTGCACGAGCGCCTGCAAAGCCCTGCACCACCTGGGCCAGCTGCACCGTTGGGGATCGGCTCGCCAAGGCAGATGCCAGGCCACGCGCGAAGAAGTGGAGCACAACCCCTTCCGAGGATCAAGGCTCCCCACTTCTGCGCAGTTGCAAGATGCGAAGATGCGAAGCTAAGCACACGCTCCCAGCCCTTTTAACAACAGGAGCTTGCCTGATGCTAGCCTTGAGCTGAGCCAGTGGTCTTTATCACCTAAGTCATGGCACAGTTCGGTATCATGGACTGCATGGGACAACGAGCCTCACGTCCAAGTCAGCTGAGTCGCTTAAGCAGATATGGATGTGATGCAAGATTGACTGCCAGAAGGGTGGGAACAGAATCGTCAGCGCAAAGAGGTGCGTAAACAAGGTGTACTCCTGAATGCTCCCTCCATATCTTTGGATGAAGTTCCTGAACTGGCAGAAGGCTGTGCACTTCGGATGGCATACAGCCTCACCTTTTCCTGCGAAGAATCCTCAAAAACAGTATCTCTGGCATGCAAGGCAAAGTAAGATCTGACCCCTTGTCAGTATGGCTTTCAATACTGTAACCTAACTTGGTACTTGCAACCATCTTCTTTGGAACCTACATGTAAAATTCCTCTTGAGGGTCCGCATCAGTCTCAGCTCGACCGTCTGGAGAAGCGTCGCGGTCAGTAGCCGGCAGAGGCCGTCCACTAAAACTTCCATATCGGCGGCCAATACGGACTTGACACACCTTGGAGGCAATAGGCATATGCTTGTATGTTGTATGCATACACGCGTATGCATGCATACATACATGCGTATGTACATACCGACCTGCGTACCTACCTCCCTCCCTCGCATGCATGCATACACTCGTTCATTTCATTTCATTCCACAGCAGAGCCTATTTATGTGACGCCTTGGTTTCAAAGTCAGCCACTGTCATGTTCGAGTCTTGGATGTGCCAACTTTTTGTCACTAAGCACCGGGCACCAGAAGCACGCTGGTCGCAATCATCGAGGCTCCCAGGTATTGCACAGGGGTGTACTGCTTTCCGCAGAAACAAACCCTCAGCACGAGACCCAGTGGCATCCGGATATTGGAAACCTCAGGGGCATCCCCTCGATCCCCTGCACCGCTCTGCAGTCAATCCTACACAGCTGCACACGCCAAGTGGCTAGGAAGCAGAAAGCTATGGGAAGCCGTTCATAGGCTCGGCTTTTCCTCAGCTGATCTGAGGGTTTGGCAGTCTGAAACACGTGTTGTCTGATGGCTCCGGATCAATGCAGCCGGTCGTCAAAAGCACCGAGCAACACCAAAAAGCCCCCAGTAGCAGGTAAGTCTGCCAGGGACCTCTCCGTGTTCGAAGGATGAGGCCCAGTCTCGGCAGATACCTTTGCCGCTTTGCCGAATGCTTCAGCTCAGAATGGGCAGTCACAGAGAGCCACTTGGCTGCACGCATGATGACGACCGTCAGCTGCAGAGCAAAGCTGAAAAAAAGAGCGCTGTCCTGCAATAAGGTGCTGATGAGTACTAAACCCACTTTGCATGTCCCCCAAGACCTTCTGGAACTTGGCGATGCGAGCAAACGGAGGCACACAAAGTCCCGACCTGAGCCACACAAAGGAAGCGCCTAAGGGAATCGGGCACCTGAACCCTGAACCCCAAACCCTAAACCCTCAGATTGGCTAAGTCTGGACAAGCCACATGAACATGCAAAAGACAGCGAAGGGCCAAAAGTTCCTCGGGGCCGATTTCCAAATGCCCGGCGCCTCGGAGCCGCTAGTTTAGGGTTTAGGGTTTAGGGTTTAGGGTCTCTGAAGCAGTTGGATGATGTGTGACAGATATGCATCGATTGTGTATACATGCACATATTGGACAGGCGTGCTTCGGCACCGACTCAATCGCTTCGACGAAAAGAAAAATGTGTGTGTGTGTATATATATATATATATATATATATATATTATGTATATGATATACATGCATACCTGCATGTTGATGGTCCAGGGAGCCGGTCGACGGTAAAGGTTCCGCACCACCTCGCCACCGAGCTCCTCACATGCTCGCAGGGCTGGGGGCTCGTGGCTCGTGACAGAAGCGGGAACCTCAAACCCGTCTAAGGGTTTAGGGGTTAGGGTTTTTGCGCTTGGGGTTTAGGGCTTAGGGGTTTGGAGCTTAAGGCTTAGGGACCCAATCTGCAGTTTGCCTCGCCTCGATCAAAGGGGAGGTATTCGCAGCGTCCAGCACCGGCATCCGCAGCAGAAAGCCTGGAATCCCAGTCTGCTATGACCCAAAGACCCAACGACGTCTCTCACTAGGCTATCGTTTGATAAGGTTAAGTCATGGAATGACCACTCCTGCGCACCGAGGAGCGTTGCCATGTCCTTCCCGCGACCGCCGCAGCCGGCAGAAGCAGCTCGGCGTCTTTGCGAGAATCCATGGGCTAAGTCCAAGTATGTAGTATCAAGAATGCTCAGCTTGAACCTGTCTAAGAACCATCCTAGCAATGTGGCTCTCGAGCTTGCGAGGGCATCCGATATCTGTACTGTGCATCTGTGCCCGTGCCTGCTTTGCATCGAGATTTCATCTGGATCCATGCCCAAACCCCAGGTTCCAAGCTTTACGGAGACTCTACGCCACCAACCCCAAGCCCTA